TAAAAAATACAGATGAGAAACTAACAAAAAGTAGCAAATCTACTACAGTACATTAGTTTCAGAAAGATGTATCCTGCTACATTTTGACTATTTACTAGTACTAGTAACCCATTTTTTTACTTCCTCCAAGAAGAATGGTTACAGTATTTTGCATTTACAATGTTTGAGTGGAAACAACCCAATGTGTGAGATACGGATTCACAGTTAAATTTCTTAAATTGTCCAAATGCCTCACTTTTTCCAATATTTCACTTTTAAAAGATTTAATATTGTCATTAACTCACAATTACATACTGTCTGGCACAAAGCCAGCTATCTTTTCAAAACATTGGAATTAACCTCTTTAATTGTTACTATCAATTAATGGTTACTATTAAGATTTGTATGGGGGTGTAAATAAATTGTCATTCAAAATATTTGTAGTTATTAAAGCCAAAAATAGACATTTATTTAAACAGTTTTGGATGGAATCTCCTGTTCTAAACACTACTTCACCTGTGTAATGTAAGACATTCCTTTACTGATAAATCTTTAAATGCCAATAGAACACCTTGGCATTAAGATGGAAATGAACCTTGACTCCTTGAAATTAAAACATCTATATGCAATGCTAGTTCTAGTAAGAGCAAATATCAATCAAAAATCGGATACTAGTAATAATATAACTTCCACTTATGATTCTATAGAGCCTACTAGTACTTAATTTTAATATCTCCAAAATGGGTTTAAACAAAGAACACATACTACTAGTACATACAAGTACCTAGCCCTAACTGAGTCATAATTATATTCTACACATCATATGGCTAAATATGGGTGGTTATAATTCACATAACTCTCTTCCTTATTCCTACCTAATTAAAGGAAAATATGTAATGTGGCACATAATACTCACCTAAGTATAAAGCCAAAGGATAATGCTGTCCTGGAAAATCTGCTGCTCTAGTTCTAAATCTCAGACACTCAGTTAATCACAAAAGATACATGACATTGTTCAAGTACACTGAAAGTCGATGCTTCATCAATTGTGGATCCTATCCCTGTTGTTCAGTAAAACCTTCAAAGTCTCTGGTTTTTTTATAGTTTTGAGTAACTTGATCTACAACCTGGATATGAATCTATCACTGCCTGATAATAAATCCAATGCTTTCCTTGATGTCACAGCTCAAGTCAGATGACTTAATATGGCTTACTAGTACCTTATCCAAGTATTATCCTAGGTAACAAATCCAGTGTCTATAAGTTTTGCCTATTTCACATGAACTTCAGCTCCTGCTATTTTTGAGTGTACAGATCTCTCTGAAGGAGATGTCTACAAATGATAGCTCAGACCCAGGGCCACAGCTTTTATGTACTAGCAAGCCCCCCTGGTGGCATTTAAGAGCAATCAAAAATGTTTGTCACCAGTGCCACAGTGACACTAACCTGTCTCCCCTGTATTAATTGGTCCTGGGTGACATTGTATAGAGTGGAACTCCACAGTGATATCAGATCTACAGATCTGGTTCTGCAGCCTGGCAGCTGAGCCAGTAACGATGGCAGCCAATAATAAATCTGGGGCTTTAGCACAGGTATTGTTATGTGGGCACATTATTTAATGCCATAATGCATTCATGACACTTATCACCTGTCCAGGTGTTCTGTAACATGACTAAATTACTTGGCCCCCCATGGGGATAACTAATACCCTGCCTCGACAGCCTCATTAGATATCCAGGTAAATGTCCTGGTTAAGAGACCATTATGGCCCAGAAATGGGGATAAAGGAAAGCTATCTGGCTGAGTCACTCCTGACACTAAGTGACATGTGTCAATACAAAAGGTGTCACTAACAATGCCACAGACATGTCAGCTTTAAGACGAATCAGCAGTAAAGCCAGTAAACACTTTTTTTCCTCCTTCTAGAATTACCATGCTACAATAAAAGGACTACAGTGATCTTGGGTTCTTGTACTTGAAAGAAATCATTTGTTGCCCATCTATTCCGACCCACAGTGCAATACTACTGGTAAGATAATCAATCAATGTACTTGTAACTCAAATAAACATGAATGTCTGTCATACAAACATGAGTCACAAATAATTTTTTTATGGGAACAGTTATTTTCTGGTCTAACGATGGTAAAACTATGTATAATATGGGACCTACACATATATGACTGACAATGGCTGTCAAAAAAAAAAAAAGTAAAATTTTCAAGTTAACCCATTCAAATAAATAGTACACCATACTTCAAAAACATTGTTGAATAAAGGACAACAGTCACAGACAATTTACTGGGTCAGTGCACAGATAAAAGGAAAAGGGAGGTGTTTTGGTTGACACTTGGGAGAGGGATAAAGAAGAAATCTTCAAGTTTATGGTTTCAAAGGAATGATCTAACTTTTCATCAAAATACAGCCATTTCACAGCTGTCATCATCTGTATTGTACACAATCTGCTACTGTGTATAATTGGTAATTAGTGTCCATACCATGTCTACACTGCCCAGCTTAATGCCTGGCTACAGGTGTTTCTCGTAGGTAGAGGTGGGGAACTGGTGGAGTTTTGCCATTATAGCAGAAATAACAATAACACCAAAGGTAATAAATTACCATGTTATGCATTCAGATAAACATTAACAGTTCCTTCAGAGAAAAACTTAACTGAAACTTATTTTTGCTCCAATAAAACAGTGTTAAGCAATTAAAGACAGAAGCTATAATAACACCTGAGGTTACAATATAATACCTAACTCTAATGAAGCTGTCTTGTTAGGCACTGAAATATTGCAGCTAAAATAATGCTGAGTTTTAATTAGGTGCTGTTTGATGAAACTTTCAATGATTATAACATAATCATCAATTATCATGACCCAAAATTCCTACCACATTAACCGATTACTAAACAACCCAAGAGTAGATAAAATATATATATACATATATGTGAAATGAGAGTTTTATTATGAGAAGAATTAGTCAATAAATTAAGCGAAAATATTATTAACATGAAACTGAATCTTATACTGTTGGAATGATCCATGTTAGTAGTTAGTATACCTATATACCTCCAAAACAACTGCAAAACAGTCCCAGTTTTAACAAAAATTATTTAATCTACTTTAAATTATTTTTTGATTCTGTTGATAAATACTAGTAAAATTATCTATAAATTTTTCTCCCTTCATTCATCAATCTAATTAGTTTTTAATTAGCATTCTGTTCATTCAGTTATGATTGTTCCATTTCTTTTTAAATTTCCCTTGTTTGTACATACTAATACCAGCTTTTACATAATTTATGTTTTTCTATTATTTTCTAAGGAGACTGAAGCATATATTGCTGGAAGCAATTTGCCTCCCCTTCTTTTATTGAATAAAGTGCGCTTATTAAAATGAACATAAAACTTATACATGATAACTGCTAGTACAGACATTCTTGTTATCTACCCAGTAAGTGAAATATTTCATGGTAAATGTTTTCTTCTCCTGCTTTAAATAAACTATCAACATAGTATCAACATAGCAAGTTTATATTTGTGCCAGAACTTCTACTGCCAGTACAGAATGTAAACAGGAAAAAAAAGACATCTTTTTCTGGAAAAGATCCCCTACTTTGAATGACTGTCTTCAAGCCTGTGAAGCATGATTATTTGTGATAAGCTACCATTTTACAATAACAAATGTGTGATCATCATAAAGACCCTATTACAGGAGGGTGATTATGACACACGGCCCAGGGTCTCACCTGGCAGTTATAGTATGGTTAATGAGCACAATCAAGTCCAACATGGACCTTAGTGTGAACTTGGTACATATCTCATGTTAGTGAAATGCTTGTTACCATGTGTGTGAGTGTGAGAGATAGAGAGAGAGAATCATGATAACAGAGTGAGCGGATTCCACCTATCCAACAATTTATACATTCTTTTATCAGCAGTGGCTTCTTGACATCATATTGTTGGGTTTGACCGTCCACCAAATGGAACTAATGTTTATGCTCTTGCGATGGAAGCAACTTTAAGAAGCTATATGTAATGTAGTCGGTGATTTTTGACTTTTTAAATAACGATAGTATTTGTAGTACTGTAAATAGCACAATGGGTTCCTACACCCCTGTAGAACTCACTATGATCACCAAATGTTTTGATCATAAAGATGTAAAGATTTCAACCTACCTATATGTATTTAATCATTACTTAAATCATCCCTCAAGCGCTGATGTCTGAGAGACCAGCAAGTTCTTACAAAGACCTAGCTGCTCTTCCGTAAATAACAGCATGCGTACAATAAGATAAACCACAGGTGTAAAGTTGATCAAAGAAAATCTAATACTTAACACTGAAGGCAAATATTGACTTTACACGTAATACAATTTAGTAAAAACAAATAATTTCTTCTTTGAATGATAATAAAGAATAATTCAAGATGAAAATGTTATAAATGACTCATCTATGTTAAAAAGTTACTTTTGGCATAACACGCGCGTAAGAGCCTATCTCCAATGCAGCAATGTGGTGCGCTCACGTTGTAAGGTGAGTTCAGTTCATATACAACTTTTTACTCGATTAACTAATTTGTTCGTCGGAATTTCTCACGAAATACATAGGATACTACATTTAGTAACTTCTGATAGAATGACACTAAAATTTGTGAAGGAAAAAGGAACGAAATCGGCTGAGGAAATGAGGTTCTCTTACTGTCTTTGTCTGTGAGTCTATGACGTTGCTAATGCTGTCTCATTAGCATATAAACATTAACAATGGTTCTTAGTGGGGCTTCTTTGTGTGCCGTGCGGGTCGAAAGCACGAGACTTCTTTGTCATGCGGGTACACTCTTAACGTTCTCATCTTTACAATAAGACATAGATTTGCTTTTAGATAAGATAATTGTTAGGAAAATTTAACCAACACTTAAATATAGAAGTATTTTTTAAAGACGAAAAAAAAATGTTTTTTAGCACTTCATCCGGTATTAATGATGACTCAGAAAGCATCAACTTCTTATATGCAAGAAAGCCCTTTATCTCTTCATTCCCTGCTTGGATCTTTAGGAATTTCACATGGGATTGAGTGTTAGATTAGTCTGGTTTGGCAGATGCTGTTCTTTGATTGGTCAGTTGGGTGATGTTGTTATTGTAAATAGCAGCATTGACCTTGTTGTGTTAGCGAGTGCTGTAAAGGTCATCACCTGCGTGCATGTGATCAGAACATGCTCAAGCTGCAATAACAGTATTTTATTAGTCAAGTGGTGGCTTGGATTTAAAAGACACCACCGAATAAACTCACCCTGTGATGATATTGTTACTGTTTATGAATTGATTAACTGAGTGCACATGCCCTGAAGTATGCTATCCATGTGTTTACTCAGCTCTGTGTTGTAGAGGCCAAGAACATGGATATGCTTGTTCATTCACCAAAGGATTAGTAGAGATAAAAAAAGAAGGCTGAATAAACTTGGTGATTAACAGTTTACAATGACATTGTTACTGTTAGCATAATTAATTAAGTAAATGCACTGGGCACTCTTTCTGCTGGTATGTTCACCATATATATTTGTATTAGTCATTATAATCCATGGCATTAATTTGAGCCATGTAGTTGTTCCACACATTGTTGTAGAGTTATGCCGAATGAGCACAGTTACTTTGTTTTTGAAGTTGCAAGATGTACTTGATATTGTCTTCTACTGTAATAGTTTGTCAATTGATGGGTTGCTGTTGTTTAAGTTCCCCATACAGTGTCATATATTTTCCCCATTCAGGCATCTTTCCCATTCGTAAAATTTATCTATCTTTTCATAGTTACTAGTAACAGAAAACAGAACAGTGAGCTAAATGATTGGATTTTATTTGAGATTTATTGAACTGAAAGTCTTAAAGTTGATGATGAGCGCTAGGGGTTGCTGGAGGTGCTACATGAAAATACCCATAAATCCCAGCCAGGGCCTGACGTTGGCCATATTGACTCAGGTCTTTGTTTGAGAACAGCTACTTGACAGTGTACTAGTACTGTACTGTAGTACCCCGAATGTATTTTAATCAAAACAAAGGAACCTCAATATGTCGTTTTCCAGCCAAGTTAGGACAGCTTAACTTACAGCCGTTTTTTCTAATCAAGCTTGAGCTATGTTTCTTGTTTACTTGAAGCAGCTTTACTTAGTATAAGATTGTATTTACAGTTAAGTTGTAACAGCTTTACTTAGTTTAATGCCATGTTTCCAGTTAAGTTGGGACAGCCTTACTTAGTATCAGATGGTTTCCAGTAAAGTTGGGACAGCTTTATTCAGTATAATGTCTCAGTTAAGTTGTGACAATTTTACTTAGTATAATAAAAAGTTTTGACTTAATATTGGACAATTTAACTTTGTTAAAGGTTGTGTTTCAAGAAGAGATAGGATAGCTTTTCTTTACATATGTCATTTACAGTTATGTTGGTACAGTTTCACTTAGTGCACAGTTGTGTTTCCAGTTAAGCTGGGACAATTTTTACTAAGTATAAGTTCTGTTTCCAGTAAAGTTGGGACAGTCTTACTTAGTTAAGATCAAATTTGCAATTGCAGAAGCTTAACTTCAGTACATATTATATCTTGACAGACTGATTACAATGTCAAGTAACAGGAAGCCAGATGAATGACATTTGACAAAGATTTAAATATATCACCTTAGAAGTTTAAGTATACAGATGGGAGGGCCTTAGTATAAACAAGAGCAGGGGTTGGTCTATTTGACATTTCTTGTGGTTAATAATATGTATTTGGCAACCATCTATAATACCCCATTCACACTGCCATCTGAATAATCCGGATTTTTCAAATTTCAGTTCTCTGAAAAAAATTTGATTCTCTGGCTTGTTCACATATGCGAAGCGAAACCAAATCCGTCTTAGAAAAGTTCCAGGTTTAACTTTCTATTTTGAACACTCGTGTATGTCCACACAGGAAAACTCAAAATACTAAATAAAAATATGGTGCCATTTATGTCTCAAATCGTAGAAATTATTATGATTCCAAAGGAATCATATTGGAAGCAATTTCATAGTGTATGGCTTTTTAGCACATAATATATTATATAAAAGCCTTGGAGATGTATGCATTCTTACAAAGAAACTGTTTTAGCAGGTTGACATTAATTTATTACAAATGAAAAATGACAGTGTTATTTAATGTGCCATAAAAAAGTCATTTTCTGCTTTAACAAAGTCACGACTAAGACCCTTAAATATAGTGAATAAAGTTATAAAAATGGAAAATACCACATACTTATAGGATGTCATTATGAATTTATTTACTTCCTTTTACAGAGAAGTTTGCAAGGATAAAATGGAGTGAGAGTGTGAAAAAATGAAATTGAAACTTGTAAAATATCATTGACTTTTTTCTTCCTGCACCCATTTTAAGAAGTCATATATATATACATTGGCCTACCACTGATTTTACATGTTTGTTCAGAAGAGTTTATCCAGTATTCTACAGTATGTGTTGGTTATAACTTATAAGGGGAGTGGTCATGTGGTTAACACTAATGGTGGTGCACCTAATGGTGGCCATTCAATCAGTGCATTAGGCAGATATTAATTATCCTAAAATGGCACATTCCTTGGAGCTAGATATTGAGTGTGAAGAAGAAGTGGTGTATTACAGTATAGTAATATCACATAACCAGTTGCAAAGTACATTTTTTTAATATAATGATATTAATGAGGTGTGTTTTTCTGCTGCTACTGGCTTTTGCATGAGCATTTATTTTTCAAATGGAATTTGCCATCATTGTAAATACCACCTCCCCTTCAAATATTTCATGTCAGTCTGTGAGACAGTGGTATCAAATTTGTTTACAATAATGAGGAACAAAGGCTTTATGCTCTTTATAGCCAAATGTGACACAGCACAGCACATAAATAAACATGAGAAAAGAATCAGTGCAGATGTCTTTTTCTTCATGTAAATAAGCCTCTGATCTTAAAAACAGTTTTTAGCATACTAGTAATGGGAAATCTTGTTTACTTCTAGATTTACGCCCTGGTTTGTTTCCTTTTCTTTTCCCTCTGTAAGTCTAGATTTTATTAAATTTATAATAGTTTGTCATTTACTTTTTTCATAGTTAGCACCTTTGACTAATGTTTTAATGACTAAAAAATGTGCCAATCAACTGCATATTTTAAAAAGATAGACTGTTTCTTAAAGACTTTTTTTCAAAACTTTGTAGTTAAGATAATCCTGTGTTTGTTTTTCTGACACAGGTGAATATGTAAACACATCAGTTTAGAGTGGAGTGGATCAGTATGGAAGCCAGACACTGGGTTATGTGGACACAGTAGATAAGCCCCATCTGTCTCAGCCATGTGTTTTTTTGTTGATTTTAGAATTTGGATTCACCAACACCTGAATTTTATTAGGTTTTAAAATATTTGGATTAAGTATGGTCTCAACCTCATTTCTTGAGAAGTACTAGTAATCTTGTAGCAAGTTTTTTTTTAGATTAGGTTGTACATGTAGTCTGAAATACACCTGTCTTATATACATTTTTTTTATTCTGAATAGTAATGAACTGCCACAACATTATTGATTAATTTAATTGTTTAGTTCCTTACCAGCTGATAAGTTAATTGTAACCAGCATCAGGTGAAAGTTTTACATTGTTAACATGAGCCAAGAATGTACCATTCTGAAGGTGTTTTTGCTCACTCTATGTGTGATACCTGTGGTATGGCTCTGCATGTAAAACTGATGATGTCTTTTTCAATTACTAAGCATTGTGGATTTTCACCTTATCATTAGTAGAAAAATGAATCATCCGCACGTCATTTTTATGTTCTTTATTGAGTATTTTTTTTTTTTTTTTAATCTGGCTTTCATATGTCTTTTGGCTTAAAGACAGTCCATTGATTTAGGTCACATCCTTCCCTACTCGCAAGTCAAGTACAAGCAATTTAATTTAATTTTAAGTCATGCACCTTTTATTTTTAACCATTATAGTGAAGTAATACAAATTGATACTTGATGAATGATATAAAAACATGGTTGTAAAATTCACTTTTGTAAAAAAATTTCTTTCTTATTATTTACAGATCTCAAATATAAACACTTACAAAGGACCATGTCATTTCGGTCCATGCTAGTTTCCCAGCCTCCTGTATCAGAAGAGTTTGGACATCCAAAGAGCCCAGTGTATGTCTGCAGGGATTGCGACTTCTCAGCAGCTAACCCGTCTGACGTGCTGAGTCACATATCAGGTGTCCAAGCACACCAGGCTTCTTCCAATGACTGCATTTATTTTGGCCATGGCATAGCAATAAATAAAGAATGCCCAGTTAAAAGTGAATCTCCAGTCACTGAAGAGCCTGATTACGAATGTAGCAATGCCACTAATGAACAGAAAGAACCTGAAGGTGCTGTCACCAGTGTGTCATGTCAAGTAACAGCCGTGTCATGTCAGACAGACTTGTCACTTGGCCTGGCTGATTTCAGCTTCCTGACAGAGGCAGAGTCTTCTATGGTGCTTGCTCAGTTACAGTGCTTACAAACCTCCTGGAAGTCCTTACAGAGCACATGGGTGAAACACATGGGCATGGTGAACACAAACAACCAGGAAGAGAAAAATAACAGCAATATGTCCCCCAGCTCAGGTTCGGAAGATCAGCCAGAATTTAGGTCAAGGTCAGAAGGTCACAGTGATGCCAATGTCAAGGTTAAAGTAGAAGATGGAGAAAAAAGAGGGGTGCTGGACAATATAATCATGCAGAAATTATCCAGGGGGACTGACAGCAGCAGTGACTCCCCTGCGTCCCCTGCATTGAGTGACCAGCCCAAGAGTTCCAGGAGTCGTAAAGGAATTCCTTGTAAGATCCGTAGAGTTGCAGAAGATGAAGATGTAGAGCAAGGTGGAGGTGAAGCTAGAGAGATGGAGGAAGTGCCATCTGGACATGAGGGTGCTGGCGAAGGTGAAGATGGTGAGAAATCTCAGACTTGTATCACAGTGCACTACAGTGATACAGTTCATATCATTGGAGACAGCTTTGATTAAATTGTGCCTTGAATAAAATTGAATGTGAGATGCTGAGATTTTAGCATGATACTTTAAATTTAGAAACAGTGCTGTAGTGTGTAAAATATTTCTTATTTAATGGAAAAGTTTTAAAGAAAAATATTGTATTAGTAGCATGTTGATGTTTGTAGATATATCAATGATTTTGTAGTTTAACAAATAATTTATTTGAATAAATTTGTTTTCCAGATACCACACAGTCTCACCATGGTGCCAATAGCAAGACTGATACTGCCATTGATCATGAAGAAAACAAAACTGAAGTGGTAGGAATAAAAATTTGTTTATCCTAGAAAAACTGTCAGTCTAAGGAAGGAGAATAACATTAAGTCTTCTGCAAGTGAAATTTTGCAATCAATTTATTTTTTGTTTGTGATACCCATGATGGTCAGGTGTTAAAAATTATGACATAATTATAATTACAATAAGCTTCTTATGATAAGTTCTGCAGGTGGTACCTAGTGTTTTATGTTCACAAGAACACACACTGGATTTTCTCTGGAGTTAAATTGTCAATGATTATTTTTCAGCCTAACACACAAGATCCTTCCAAGTCTAATTACTTTGCTGCAGCGGCCATGCCACAGTTTCCAGGGCTTCCAGCTCAGGGGTAGGTGTACAGGTCCTACTTGTAGAGGCATTAAATGTACCTCAGACCTTTGTATAGTAAAAATAATTTAACAAGCCATTTCAGTAGCTTCACCTTCATCACCAAGGTATATCATATTCCAAACCAGTGACAAAGAATTAAAACTTAAGCTGAATGTCTAATTTTTCTGTCACAAGTGGTAATCATCAGTCTTTTTCCCTTAAATGAATAGGAATAAGACTAGGAACTTACAACTCGAAACTGGTTTATGGGCCATAATTCTGTGAATGGTATTGGATATGCTGTATATATATTGTTGATTAGGGGAAAATATATTTCTGCTATATAAAGGTCTAATACCTAGTGTTTACCTATAATGTACAGGGTTCCTGACATTTAATTTACCCGTGAAGTTTTTCTACATCGTCCTGTTGTCAGTCACCAACTCTTGCTATTTGTGCATGCTCTATCAGTATGCGCTTGTTATCAATATAGCCAGTGTGTTTTCCAGGATTGAAATCTGAAATTTTAAGAATGTAAATAATCAGGTTTTGAAATGACTTGTAATTAGAGGTTAGATGTCTTCGGTTTTGTGGGTCACCCATGTCTAATTTGCAAGTGATGTCATACAAAATTTAATATATATTATTGCTTTCATCATTTTTGTCACAATGCTACATTTGTGTCATTCCCAGTCACTCCAAACTGTCACATCTCTTTAAAATGCCTTATTAACTGTGACACTTGCTTGTCATCACTGTCACAGGGGCTGTAACATGCATGTGTTACAGTACGTGTCCTGGTATGACATTAATGTCACACACATCATAATAGCTGTCCTGCTTTTGTGTCATGTCTGTGGCATGTCAACACTAAAATTTCCTTCTGGTGTGTTTTTAGTGAAGATAAGTTGTTTCATCCTAGTATGACCAATCCCAGCAGGACTTCAGAATATGCTCAGATCACTACAGGACACTAAAAGCAAAGAAATAACTTAGTATATAAAGACTGAGGTTTAGATTTAGTCTATGCCAAACACTTCTGGTCCTTCAAACTACCTGGGTATTTTTTTTTTTATTAAAGAAATATACTTTACATCTAAAAATTAGTCTGAAATTAATGACAAAATTTCAGACTGCTTAGTCCCAAGATAAAAATGTAATAGTCTGTGGATGAGAGAGGGATTACATGTTCTTTTTCTGGGTCATACTAAGTAAGGTCAAGCTATATCTTCATGGGGAACACACCTTTAAAAATATGTACATCTACAGAAAAAAATAGCTTCTGTGTTGGTGTTACTGATTTTATGCTTAACTGTGGAAACATACTTAATATACTCCAGTCAGACATGTTGCTGTGCCTCTCTCACAAGTAATTATTTTGGCCTTAGTTGTATGATAGTGTGAGAACTTAATTGTTGCGTAAATATGTACAAAATGCCATATGTTCTTTCATCACTGGAACATACATAGATATTTGTATCAATCACAAATCTATAGAGAAAAACTGCCAATGGTGTTTATGGAAAAACTTTTACATGACATGAAAAATTAATAGGTGGATGGAGTTGCATGTAGTGTAAGACCTTGTGTGCATATTTGGTGGAAGTTGATATATGACTTTAGTTTTATATTTTTCCTTGATTGTTGACGTTGACAGAAATGAAATTTCATGATCTGCAAAAGAAAAGTGGTCAGAATAAGGGCCAAAAAGAAAATACAACATTTTTTCATGATGATAAAGAAAACTTTGTTTTATTAATTTACCAATGCAGATTTTTTTCATTCATATTTAAAATTGCACTTCACTAGTATTTAATAATTTTTTTTTGTATTGGTTTGTATATGTTATTTTTGAAATGCAAAAAGAAAAAAAATTAACACCAACTAGTAGCAAAATATTCAAAACCATATTTAATAAAGTTGTAAGCATAGTAGAACTGAGCATTTTCCCCACCAAATTGCCACATGAATCAGGTCTTAAAGCAACTCTCTTCTCCTCTTAATTATAGTCATGGTGGCCGCCTTCCCAATACAGATGTAGAGGTCAGCACTGCATGGCCTGTGGCTCCGTGGCTCTCTGGTTTAACACATGGGCGACAGCAGAGTTTTGGGTGGAACATGCCAAATTTTCCTGCAGGTGTTCCTCAATTTGCCATGGGTTTCCCAACCAGTCCACCACTTGCGTCAAAACGAGAAGAATCCCCTTCTTTGTGGAATGCACCTCATGTTAGAAGAGACCTGCCCACAGCTTCAGATTCGTCTAGTATGCGAGTCAAGATTGGAGACCAACAGGGTTCTTCTGGCAGTGGACAAAGCCCTGGTCAGCCTGGACAAGCCCAGGTGCAAAAGGGGAACCAGGACCCTAAGGCTGTGCCAACAAAAAAGGAGCCTCTAAAATGCAGATTCTGCAATTTCACATGTAACAACAGGTATTCCCTGAAACGACACGAGCGCAGACATGGAAACGAAGATGACAAGTTTACCTGTCAGTACTGTAGGAAATCGTTCAACGAGAGAACACGGCTCACTGAGCACATTAACTTTAAGCACGAGAACAAGCAAAAAGTTTGCGAGGTGTGTGGCAAGTCATTCAGTAGCATGTCTGGATACAGGGCTCATCAAAAGATAAAGCATACTGATAAAGGTACCAAAAAGTGTGAACTCTGTCAGCTATCATTTCTCGATAATTGGCATTATGAGGGGCACATGAACAAGCATTATAAACTGAAACCTTACCAGTGCGAAGAGTGCCACAAAACTTTTTCGCACAGAATAAGTTACCAGAGACACAGAAGATCGTGTGCCAGTGAGAGGAAGTCCCACACATGTACCATCTGCCATAAGGAGTTTGCACACAAATTTAACCTTGATGAACATTACGCAGGAAAGCATGACCGTAGGCAGATATGTTGCAAAGATTGCGGTAGGATCTTCTCCTGGAAGACGTCGTACCTGAGACATGTTAGGACCATGCATCCCAGTTCAGTGCCATGATGACGTAAAGTGTCTTCTAATAACTATTGAACTTACATGGTTCATAATTTTTGAATGATTTTTAATTTTTAAATTATGAAAAGGAAAAGAATACCATCTAAATTATGATAAAGAAAAAATACCAACACCTAAAGCACTCAACACTTCAAAATTCTGAAATAACTGCAAGAAGTAAAACGATATGGAAGTACAATCCAGGGTTTTGGTCCAAAACAAAAGATGAAATGCAACAACACTTAAATCACTTACACTTAAACATACTGGTTAGTAACATAGAATAGGATGTGGCTGATCAGAGGCCTTCTTTTAGGAAGGTCATAAAAGTTTCTGTTACTTACAAGGGAAGGGGCATTTTGGCATATACAAGATTACTAGAAGGGTTTATTTCCTCTTCACAAATGTTCTGCCATATATGAAGTGATAATTTGAATAAATTGTTGTTTATAGTTGTACAGGTAAATATAATTTGCAAATTGTCCGCTATACATGGGAGAAATTTTGCTTGTTATGTTAAAGTTATGTTGAACAGAAAAAAAATGTTGCAGTCAAAACCATTGATGTTTTTTTTTTTTTTTTTTTTTTTCGAGAAGGAAAAGATGAGGGTTGTCAGTCAACCTGAAAACTTTTGTAGTGCGGTGGTGTTGTTTTACAAACTTCTAAGTGTTCTTTGCAATAATGGTTTGGCTGTAATTGAATTTCATAATTTTTTTTCTAATTTGGATAGAGAAATTGGTTTTCTTGTGAGTATTTTCTGTTCTCTTTCTCTTCATTTTGTAGTTTGAGTACATTGTAACAACTTACTGGTGCATATTTATATTGTGTATAGTTCTTATGTCATTAACTAGACGAGGTTTTTGTGGATTTAGGAGTTGCCCTTTACTGGTTTATAATTTTGTGAAAGCTTTACTTTTTGTGCATTTATTTGAAATAAACCATTAAAAAGTGCAGTTACTCTTATTTGTTATTTTACACCATCTAATGTGATCCAACCCTGATTGCAGAGAGTTACCATCTGACTATAGTGTGTTCAAAAACCCTGTCAGTTTATTGGCCCTTCTCAACCTTCTGGTTCAAAACAGAAATATTAGCCAGTAACTGAACAAAGTAAAAAGATTTTACAGGTATTTGGTGTAGTGGTGAACTTGGCAGACTTAAATTTTAAAACTGATTGCTGGTGTATAGTGAAAGTGTAATTCAGTAAATGAGACTGTGGAGCATGATGGCATTTTTTTTTTTCATCAACCATATGCACACATCTAACAGGTAGAGGCTTCTTGTAAAAGTTTCAAAAACATTTCCATTTCTAACCAATCCTTTCAATATGAGTGTCCCCAGATTTCATTTCTGTGGTCAGTAGTTGCTTGTTGATAAGATTTTAAAATGCCTAGAAGTAGTTTTATTCTAATTAAATATTGTTTTATTTTAGGTACATCCATCCATTTTTCAACTTTGGTATGCCTCTTCCACCATTTGGTGCTGTCATCTTCCAACAACAGCAACAATTACAGCAGCAGCAGCAACAACAGCAGCAGCAACAACAACATTACCAACAACTTCAGCAGCAGTTACTGTTACAGCAGAGAAAGGATAGTCCAACTCCTGACCAGCTGCGCTTTAACTGGCCAGATGACATGGAGACTTATGACCGCATAATAATACGGGACCCCTCCAGTGAGAAACTAACATATCGATGCACCCTGTGCCCTGATTATACTTCTTCTATCAAACACCGGGCCTTTGACCACGCAGACGCTAAACACTTTAATCTCAAGCGCCACGCATGTGATTCGTGCGATTTCCGCACCACATGTTTTGAATCTCTTCGCTACCATATGGCCAGGCGATCTAATGGTACGTGTCCAGGGATTGGTCATCCTTCCCACAAAGAATCTTCAGCTGACCAGAAGAGCGATGATTTGGTCGGAAGCCAAGAACCACAAACTGAAGTTTGCCCAACCCCCAGATTTGCAAAAGTATGAGGCGGCCATGCAGACTTTCAATGCACTTGATGCTGTTGGGAAGAGAAAGACTATGCATAAGTGTCTCTACTGTGGCTTTACTTCACAAGCTCGTAACAGAATCTTTGACCACATGGATGCCAAGCATTTCAACCAAAAGCGGCATGCATGTGATAAGTGTGATTTCAGAAGCTCCAGTTTTGATTCTCTACGTGTGCATATGTTGTCACGTGATGAAAGTGGGAACTGCCCTAAATCAGGGACAGTGTCCTTAGATAATGTCAGTGATAGCAATGTTACAGTAGTCCAATCTCCACCACAGACGGCCTTGAATTTGAGCCTGGATTCCCCCAGTGTGGCACCTAATGGCAAGGGAGGATTCAAGTACACTTACACCCCACCTGATAATGTTGAGAAGTATGATGCAGTAATACAGAGGGCCCAATGCTCCAGTTCGGCAGAAAGGCTCAAGGGGCGACTGCGCTGTAAGCTTTGCGGCTTTCGCACAGGGACCAAGCGCAGAATGTACGACCATGTTGATGGCAAGCACTTTGGCATGAAAAGACACCGATGTGACATGTGCAGCTTTAGAAGCTCGTGCCTTGAAAGTCTGCGAAATCATGTTCTAGCACGTGTTGATAAGAAGTGTCCTGGTGCTGAAGCTTTGAAGGATGCCAAATCTGAAAACGCCAATGATGATAATCCCCCAAAGGAGAATACCAATCTTGTGTCCAAACCTCCTGGTATTAAAGTTTCCTTCACTCCTCCAGAGAATCTGCAAATGTACGAGTGCATGATAAGACGAGTGGGTGACAGCACCAATGATCGCAGTAAAATGCAGTGTGCATTATGCTCCTTCAGTACCTTAGCACGTCATCGCATGTTTGATCATCTTGATGCCAAGCACTTTAGTTTAAAGCGCCATGCCTGTGACCAGTGCGATTTCAGATCCTCCTCCTTAGAAAGCTTACGAAATCATGTGCAGGCGCGTATGGATGGACATTGCCCTGGCTCTGGACCCATCCATGATATGTCATTGTCTGTCCTCAATTCTAGCCCCCAACCAAGCAGCCAAGATTCTTTTAAACAAGCAAACTGTGCCAAATCTGAGTCAAACAACTCCTCTAGCAATACCCGAATCACACGCTCTGGAAAACCACCCCTTTTGAACTTTAACCCACCAGAGAACCAAGAAGAATACGAGAACGTGATGGAGAAAGTGGAAGCCATAGATCCCTTGAATAAGTACAAAAGTAAGCTCCAGTGTAAGGTGTGTGACTTTGCCACAGGGATCAAACATCGCATGTATGACCACTTAGACAGTAAGCATTTCAATAGAAAGAGACACATCTGTGACAGGTGTGAGTTCCGCACTTCGACCATCGAGAGTTTACGTAACCACATCTTGGGGCGCGTGGATGGTGTTTGTCCAGGTGTAGGAGGATCAGACGCCCCTGCTCAACCCCCTACCCTGATACCTCAGACAACTCCTGCTGTTGAACCCTCAAAGTCTGGCAGAATAAGTTTTGTTCCACCTCCTGATATTGAGAGATACGAAATGATTATCAATCGTGTGGAAAGCACGGATCCAAACACGAAGCGAAAGACCCTGGTATGTAGCCTGTGTAGCTTCTCCACCATTATCAAACATCGCATGCTGGATCACATAGATGGGAAGCACTTCAATCGCAAGCGACACCTGTGCGTGTTATGTGACTTTCGCACTAACCGCCTAGAATCTCTGCGCAATCACATGGCTTCCCACTATCTGGAAGCCGACTTTGGAGACGAAGGAAACACAGAGTCGGCCTCCAAGGCACCAACAACCAGAGCCAAAAAGGGAGCTGAGTTTTCTCCATTTGAAACAAATGTGTCCAATGGTCCAGCTGTCTTTCCTTTGGTGACCACAGAGTCCCAGAGTGCAAGCAACCCCAGTATTTTCCCAGCTCCTGAGCCAATACAAGACTGGGATCTGAGTCACAGTGGGTACAGCAGTTCAGGACAGTCACCAGATGGGGCTTCACTTGATTCCAATCAGGACGATACCAATCCTGAGGCACCCAGCTATGTTCAGTCACCAGGTGGATCTGCTGAATTCATCCAAGATAGCACCAATTCTGATGCTGCTGTTGATCTCAGTGCTGTTGAGCAGGTTCCAGTTTCTGATGAGGCAGAAAATTCTCCCACCAACACAGATTCCACAGCCAAAGATTCCATCAGTGTTGATTGTCACAGAATTATTAATCAAAATATTGGCTCAATGAAACGGAAAATGTTTCAACCTCGCATGAATGCAGGAAATAAGAAACTTGATCTCAAGGATGTCTGACTTTTTTCAGAGTAAAAGACTTTCAGTATTGTTAAAAAATAATACTACTTATTTTGTTTCTAATGATCATTGTCAGTATATTAAGGAGGCTTGCAAAACCTTTCCATTATGTTATTTTCATGTTGGGTTATTTGACTTGGGTTCATTGCAGCTTTGGCATGTTAATAACTATGGTAACTGTAACTATTTGACAATTAAAACTTTTTTCCTGATGAATCTGGTAAAAATCCATCTTTTTAAAATTCTTAGTCATGTATTAATCTTATATAAGAGCAGTTCTTGTTATCATTTCAAGGTATATCATTTATAAAAAAAATATTTGTCTCAGTAAAGTTTTTACACAATTTATGACAAACAAACTTGCATTGAATTCTTAAGTATCCAAAGAAGTGCATTTCCATGTTATGGTAGAAATGCATTTTGTCTCTAGCCAACCTAAAAGTAAGACCTTTTTATAACATTTTTATTACGTATTTTCTTTGTTGAATGATGTTATATATAGAGCTTTTTTAAAGCAAAATATACTTATTTTATATAATCAATTGGTAGTATGTAAATGCTACTATAATAGCTTTGTAGCCAAAACAATTTTTGATAGGCACATACATTTTTATAGAGATTTCTCAAAATTGTACATTTATATAGACCTAGCCTATGTAATACTATTTGTATCTCACTTACACAGGATATTTAATCTTATTTACTCATTTTTGATCAAATAATTACCTTGCATATAATCTAAAAGGAATTTTTTTTTCATCTGTGTGTTATCATTATTATTACTGCAAGGTAGAGATTTTTGATTGCTGTAAAAAAGGCATGTAGTACTGCATGGAATGCTTTGCCAATTTATATGCTTCACAAAAAAGAAAATGTTATGTCCAGCAATTTTTTTAAATGAAACAAAAACCCATTATCTATGTGCTTAGACAATTTTTATACATTTCCAAATATAAAATAGTATTAAATATATCATAATTATAGTTAGAAGCATTGTGTCAGAAACTGCTGAGATTCATTTATCTGCAATAAACTTTTGCATTTAAGATTGAATGCCTTTTTTTCTTCTGTGTGTGTGTCATGATATACCAAGTTTGCCATAGAGAATTATGCTACATTTCAGTCAGAATGGGGTAGTTACCTTTGAGTGAGAAAAAGTAATTGAAGTTCACATTGAGAGCAAAGTCCTGTAATGTCACTTTTCACGGAGATGGTTGGAGAAAACCTGGGCGTATGAACAGCTTGTAATAGTTACTTTAACTTTGAATTCTGCCATTTTCCCATTAACTGAAACCATTTTACCTTTTATACAATCCTAGTTTGGTTGCACAAAGTATACCTTTGAATTACTGCATACAGAAAAAAATCAACCAAAATTTTTAATTTTATAAAAGTAAAATAAAAATGACTGATAATCTTTTAAGCAATATATTAGTCAACATTTACAAATATTTGACAATCTTAAAAATACATAAAATCTAAATTTCAAATCACAGTAGCAACAAACTGGGTTATTTCAATTAACACAAGACTTCTATATAGTTCACCATACAAAGTTATACTGCCTACTAAAATGTGATAACACTGTTGCCAACAGAAGACCAGGCATGCCTGTGATAGCCACTATGTTGGGGTTTTAGTTCTCAACATCTGCCATAGTATACCTGTAATTCTGCTACAACACTCATCAGGTGTATGTAACGTCACATGCCTCAACCATTTGTGGAGTATCCATGTCATGTGCTTGTCTTAGTTCTAGACAGTACATGTACTACATACCACTTAAAATTATTTTCAGTATCTATCTCCATGCCAGAATGAACTGGTCTTTGACATGGCTATGCAACCACAAGCATGCATGCATCTCGACAAGGTTATTTTATGTTCAGATTACCTAAGCAATTATAAATATTTAACAAATTAAAAAAAATTACATATCCATATATTACACCTCCACATTGAGATGGTAACTTTTTTAACAAAAAGTTAATTATGCCTAAAATAAATGCACTTTTTTGAAACTGATATTTCTAATTTTGCTAATAAAAAAGATAAAGAATTTAACTGCCGTGTGGTTACATACAGAGGTTTATAAAATTTGTTGATTCCAATACAAGAAGCTATGAGTATTTGATGGGAGTCCATTTCAAACAGGAAATGTCAATTTTTCTATTGTCTTTTTCTTGCGTTTTTCTTGTTTTCTTCTCAATATACTCTTCAATCAGATCCTAAAAAAAAAAAATAATACAAAGTTTAAAGTGTATTTGAATAAAATGTACATTTTCAAACTTCAAATCTTATAATGCGGAATTTTATATCACATTATAATTATATTTATTACTAGCCACTTTCCCACTGTGAACAATTATTTTAGATATTTATTGTTTTATTGGTTCAAAATTATGCGCATACAAATATACAGTAAGTCATACAAGTTGTACAAATAGTAAAATGCATAGTATGATACTTGACATTAATAGGCATCTAAATAATAATATATTGATATAATAGTAAGGCAGACCAAAATAAAACTGAAGGATAAGATGGAGGCTTTCTTTCTGTAGAAATAAGTCATCAAATTCTGTTCACCTACCTGTTTTTTGAGCACTAAGTGTTTTCCTTTCCAGTACTTCAGCATCCCCAGGGCCTGCAGGGTGCTCACTATGTCATTGGCATTGATGGCAGTTTCTTGACTGAGATCTGAAAAATTAAGTTTGAGGAATTAATCCACTTTCAGAAAACAGTCAGGGGTAGCAGGCACATACACAGAAATATATAATATATAAAAATACACATACACAGAAATTCCAAAACACATACAGCATACATTTTGAAACCACTGGGAAAATGAATAAAAAGGCTTTTGACTAAACAAAACATGAAAAAGTTCCAATATAAAACTACCAAACTAAGTATGTAAGCATACATGACAATGACTTCCCAGGGTAGTGAGTAAAATTACTGCCACAACAGCAATTGACTTTTTTGTAAATCTCAACGTCTTAGGAGAGAACTCATCTCAACAGAATCTGGATTAATAAATAAATACCCCATTCACACTACGCTCAGTTATCCGGATAAATTGCTAATAAGGTCACAATTCTAATAAATGCAGTAGTGTGAACACAAGAGGATTTTTGTAATGCGCATTTTCAAAATCCTGCAAGCGAGGTGGATTTCTAAGCGTGATCCGGATAACTTACCGGAATCGACACCTGTACAGATCTTACTGCGCATGTGTGCAGATAAGTGCGGGTATCTATGAACGCTTGTTTATTACTTTAGCGATTGCACCAAACGTATTTGGAAGTCACCACTCACTACAACATGAGGAAACAAACTTATTTTGCCATCTCATGCTTCCCAAGAATGCTGGAATGTCTTTTTGAGATACATTTGCCGTCACACTTTTTTGTTGGTATTTTGAGTTTTCCTGTGCGGCGCATGCACGAGTGTTCAAAACAGGAAGTTAAACCTGAAATTTTCAACGTGGGATTCGGATTCGCTTAGCGAGTGTGAACGCAATACCGAATCGGATTCCTCACGAAAAATCCGAATTATAGAAATGCGCATTTTTGCAACTGTAGTGTGAACGGGGTAAAATTAATTTTAATTAATTCATCAATTTATCCAGATTTACATTTACATATTTGGTCAATTAAAACTGACAACATATATAAATAAAACTACCTTTGATGGATATTTCTGGCTGGATGTAGTCATGCAGATAGCCTAGTAGCACATCTTTCCAGTAGCTTCTGTAGCTGATTAAACCCAGGTCTGAGAGAGGTCTCTCTGGGGAGCCAATCTTCTCCTCCACTCTGCTTAATAGATAACCTACAGGAAGAAAAACAGGCCGTGAATGTTAACAACTGACAAAGGACATGGGGTAGGATTGAATACATATATGGCTTGGGGTTCTGGAAAAAAAAGGCAGAAAAAATTGGCTAGCTGGTTTTAAGACTGAGGGTCTTGAGATGGAAAAATGCAAAGAAAAAAATTTGGCGTTTAAATTGAAAACAAAAATGTTGTCAGACTGATTGAATATGAATCCAAAGGTCACTTCTGGCCAGACCAATGTGCATACTCAGAGATTGTACAATAATGACATAAAGTGTTGGAAATCTTCTCCACCCCACCTGACAATTTTTCTAATTTTGATCTATAAAAACAAAACTTAAAAATTTTACACATCCTGTCTCAGGAAAATTTCCCCCAAAAAATATTCCGATTCCTTCAAGCGCCTCAACTCATTTAAATAAGTCAGATGGTGTAAAGAAAGAGTGACCTCTGATTATGTTACAAACTACAAAAGACTCCGTATGACTTATCACTGCTACAGCTTGGGATTATATCTCTGACAAATTTTATGAAATAACAATATTCTTTCTTTGTTATGAGCTTATAAATCACTGCCTAACACAAATCTTAATGTAATTAGTACAAATTGACTGGTTCCAAAGTATTGGCAATATGTGGAGAGCACTGTTATTACTTACTAAAATCTATGAGCATCTTCCCATATCCCTGCCTCATGTACTGTGGCATGGTAAGAATACAGGACACATTGTAGTTTAGGAATGAATTCTTCTCCTGAAATCAGCATTACATTCAATAATCAGTACATACAAGAAAAATAGTCTATATATCCTTCAAAATAAAATATATAAATATGGAAATGATAATCACACAGTTTTTCACAAACACTACATTTTTAGTGCATATTTTTGTCACATTAAAGAGATTTCAGTTTATTACACATTATTTGTCAATCAAAGAATGATTCCTTCTCTATTTCTTCAATTGAAAATCAACCCCTCATTTATAGATATATGGCCTATTAATGTCTAGTTAATATTCTTTACTTAAACCTGCCAATTATTTACATAATCTTGAACTACAGAAATATGCTTGGTAGCTTCTTTACTTTCAAATCATCCTTATTGAACCTCAGCAGTTTGTTATATTGAAATCAACTGTGCTTATCACTATTTGGCTTTGGTTATTCAGATTTTGTGGCATTGCAAAAGATCACGTGACATTAACAGACCAGTGATTATTAAATAAACTTCAAGCAAACACTGTTGAAGTACAGACACAACACGTAGGCATGTATGCCAATTAAAAAATACAGCAGCAAGACCCCACATAGCCCTGAAGTTCCCACGTAATTTGTGTGCAGACCTTAGAGAAGTAGCCCACGATATGGCAGCCATACTGGTTAGCTTCTGTCATCACATAGAATAGGAAAGGTTCCACATCATAGTACAGGGTTTTGTGGTCCAGGAACAACTTGGCAAGCAGACACAGATTCTGGCAGTAACTCTGAATATGACGGTGAAAAAAAGCAATGTTTGTAATGTATCACATGTTTATGATCACAATTTGAANCCATTTTTAGACAGGGGTGCATTGCAATGAGGCCCCCCCCTAGCCCCAAATCCCGACAAAGCCCAAATTTTGTGGGAACGAGTTGAGATTATAGGTGACCTAAATCCAAGAGATGGGTACAGGGGCCCTTACCGTCTAGGAGGAGAAGCGGTAACGGTGACTTGGCGGCGGAGCCGCAGGAGCCGCAGGAGCCGGCAGAACATACGGGTCGGGACTAAAACCATGGGTACCGCCAGCGCCTACGCTGGTGGTACAATAAACTTCAAGCAAACACTGTTGAAGTACAGACACAACACGTAGGCATGTATGCCAATTAAAAAATACAGCAGCAAGACCCCACATAGCCCTGAAGTTCCCACGTAATTTGTGTGCAGACCTTAGAGAAGTAGCCCACGATATGGCAGCCATACTGGTTAGCTTCTGTCATCACATAGAATAGGAAAGGTTCCACATCATAGTACAGGGTTTTGTGGTCCAGGAACAACTTGGCAAGCAGACACAGATTCTGGCAGTAACTCTGAATATGACAGTGAAAAAAAACAATGTTTGTAATGTATCACATGTTTATGATCACAATTTGATTTTTTTTACAAAGTGCTTTTTTAGCAAAGCAAGAGCATCTGAGAAAACTTTGCTCACAGTGAAACTTTGCTTTCAGATCATAATATGCATTGTGTATATTTACTGCATTTTTTATAAGTTTATTCACATTTATCCATAAATTGGCATGAATAATCCTTTGAGATAAAAAAAACATGATCTGACAAAAAAATTAAATTAGATAGTAATTCATTTTTCACTCAAACAACTTTTGAATTTATATCACATATCTGTAATGAATGTGAAAAGAATGTAGAACTCTTACCAAAAAACCTACATTAAATATTCACAATTACTCTTTGGAGACAGCTCTCAGTTTGACTTATGCCACAGTTTTAATTTAATTTAGACTGTTACTATTGATGGTGTCCTTAAAGCATAATCTATAACCTTATTCTTCTTCCCATCCACTTCAAAGACTGATGTATTTCCCTTCCTGTAGATCTCATCACCAGGAGGGTGCCGCCACACACACTTAGCCTGGAATACATACACCACAATCAAATCATATCTTACATCTAAGGCCAGATATTGGTTTGTTTTTAAGAATATAAGTTATGGGTTTCTAATTAAATCTAATTGGGATTTTTGTGATTGTCTTATAATAATAAAATCAGGGCCTTAATAAAAATGCCTTACACATCACACACATTTCTTACAAAGCAATTTTATAAAACTAAATAAAAAAATCTAACAAGGTTTCAAACAAAAAAGATCTTTATACGAACAAAAAAAAACATTAATCAATCATGTTCAGGTTCATCACAGAAATATTCACCATATGTCTTCTAAATATAGTGGAAGTTTTCATAAACTTGAGGCAGAATTCACACAGGTAAATCTTGGGAAGTCTGGCATACTCCTCTGGGTAAGGGGAGGCATACCATGTGTCCAGCTCATACTTCCCCATCTGGATTTTCTTGATTCTGTATTCATGCTGGCTTGTTAACATGCAGTGCTGAGTGATTTCATATTCCTGGAAATATGTTATTAAGTATAGTTTTTTTTATAACTAGCTAAATACAAATATACTTAGCACCATTCAAAAATACATGGGTCAGATAATAAGTATAATTCATAGGAAGTTCTTTATATTTGTATCTATTCTACACACCTGACTGACTTACAAGGATAAGATTTGTTCGCATTTATAGCATGTCAGAATACTGTGATCAGACATAAACCATGACTGACAGCCAAAGGTGTGGCTATTTTCTGACCCATGCAATTTTGATGATTATGAAAATGTACAATTCTACAAGTAATGGATGCTTGTAAGTGCTACATGAAAAACATGTCTTTGCTGTTAACTATTTCAAAATTTACACTGTGTGCTCTTTGAAACCTTCCGTCTATTATAAAAGTTAAATTTATTGATTCTTTGAAATTCTCCCTTTCAATTATAGGTGTCTCATATGGTACACACACACACACACACACACACACACACACACACACACACACACACACTACTTACTAGATCTTCACAGGCTTTGGATTGTGCTTGTTGAAACAATTTGAGGTCAAAGTTTGAAGTGAGTCCCTTTAACAACGGCTCTCTGGACTTCTCAAACTGTTGAAAGTGCTTGGCTTGCTCCTTTTTACTCTCCTCGGAATTCTGTGATGGCTTTTTCTGTCTTGCCTGAATGACCTTGTCCTTGATAACTTTTTGTTCTGGTGTTGGGCTCTGCCAAAAAAAAAATTATTATCATTTTTCCTCAAATTTTCACAAAAAAATCTGTTCAATAGCTATAAATCATTAGTCAAAATAAGTCACATTTAACAAAAGATTTAACAGCAAGTCCATCTACTGACAGTAAAATGAAATTCTTCAGAAGCAACATCACTTTAGAGCAGTCAAGGATCTCTTTTCACCAACAATTAATGCTTTACCATTTCAGATAATGGATGATTTAAACTGTGATCAAACAAGAGTATATATAGTAATCCTACGAAGCCTCACTGCTCAAAAACAGTCCACACAATCTTCAGTAAAGGCAACTGCAACAAATAGTTTCAATTCTAGTAACATGCATTGCTTAAAAAGTTACTGAAATGAATTGTCCTACCTGTCTCCTTAATCCATGTCTGCTGTCAGCACTGGCCAAAGTCTTCTGCTGCTCACGTTTTTCCTTTAGATATTCTTCATGGCGTTTCTACATTGAAATAATTGGCATTAGCTTAATGCAATATGAATTTTAATTATTTCCAATATACTAAGAGATTCAAAAGTTGAAAGTACAATCACTGAATAAGTCTATCCAGAAAAAATTATCAAAATATATAAAAGAGTTAAAGAGATATCTTGCCCGCTAACAAAAAAATAATAAAAAATAAAAATACAAACTGTGGTTAAAAACATAACCACTTGCGTCATCAGAGGAATTAAATATAGAGAATTGCTCACTTATCTTACACTCTTGAGGGGTGGTGTTATGATAGACAGGACAGACAGCTATGGTGTGGTGTTTATCATGATTACCTTACACTCCTGAGGGGTGGTGTTATGATAGACAGGACAGGCAGCTATGGTGTGGTGTTTATCATGATTACCTTACACTCCTGAGGGGTGGTGTTATGATAGACAGGACAGGCAGCTATGGTGTGGTGTTTATTATGATTACCTTACACTCCTGAGGGGTGGTGTTATGATAGACAGGACAGGCAGCTATGGTGTGGTGTTTATCATGATTACCTTACACTCCTGAGGGGTGGTGTTATGATAGNGGTGTTATGATAGACAGGGCAGGCAGCTATGGTGTGGTGTTTATTATCCTTACCTTACACTCCTGAGGGGTGGTGTTATGATAGACAGGGCAGGCTGCTATGGTGTGGTGTTTATTATCCTTACCTTACACTCCTGAGGGGTGGTGTTATGATAGACAGGGCAGGCAGCTATGGTGTGGTGTTTATCATGCTGACCAGTCAGGTGACCTGAGAGAAAGACATAAAATCTAATTTAGACATCAATACTGGTAATTGTAAATATCTTCAAAAACTTATAAAATTTTTGATTTCATTTTAAAAGATTAAAATAAATGAAGTATATGGCATGTGAACCAATATTTCAAAACTATCACCCTTCACAAAAAAACTTTGTCTATGATGTGACCCTCAGGTTCTAAAATCTTCAAGTTAGACTAAAGCCAAAACAGTGGCAAGTTACTGAAATTGTTCACTTAAGTACTAATTTTTAATATCTTAGCTCCAGCCTTTTTGTCATTTGTCATGGGTTAACATTATACTACATCACCTGCTCCATTGCATCCTGGTGTGGGGCAGTCTGCATCAGCAAAGATATTCACTGTAATGCTCTCCTCTGGTTCTACACTGCTCTCTTTCTTCTCCTTCTTGGAGTTCTTGCTAACGCTACTGTGATCTGTGTCTGAACTCTCTGAGCCAGTGGTGGATTTCTGGGTTTTCTTGGCTGGGCGGCCTAACAACACAAAATCTATTTTCACAAAGGGATTCACTTTAGTGTAGTTCTTTTCACTGCACACATTTTAACTCCTTCAAGAAGATGCCAAGGTTCCCACTACTATATGAGTTAAGCTTTTTGTTCAAAAACAGAAATGGTGACAAAACTGGTTATTACTGCAATGGACAGAAAACATTATATGCATATATATAAAACATTTAATGTAAATGTATTCTGCCATTTTCTAGACAACCCTGTACCTCCCTATTAGTATTAAAAGTGGTTTCACCTGGAGATTTTTTAGGAGATTGTTCACTTTTTGTGCTAACAGGTGTCTTCTTTGTCTCCAAATTTTCCCGAGCAGTTGATCTCCGAGTACGGCGTGGGGTTGGCTCTTCCGAGCTCTCACTGTCCGAGTTTGATCCTGAACTGCTGCTTGAACTGGAAGAGGAGCCACTTGCCTCCCTCTAAGTGAGTAAAAATATAAACGAGATCATTTATTAAAGAAAACAAAATTCTACATAGGGGGATTTTTTTTCTTTAGTCAAATGCAGTTTAATTTGTCTTTATCAAAATTCTACCACTCCTCAACAGCATCAATAATAATAACATTTACCATAACCATTACAACCTCATCGCATAAGTAAGGCACACCATAAATGTTAAATACAATTAGAATCGCCGTATTCAGAATAACAGAAAACAGAATGGTCAATAGTGATAAAGACTAATTTTCCCTACTTCCTTTTTTCTCTCAATTTTATTGATCAGGTTTTGTACATCGTATAAACTATTCTTTGCCATCATTCCCTATTTCTATATACATACAATATATCTCAATAGTTGAGTAGGGTCTATTTCAATTACTCACCTTTCTCTTTGGCATTTTGGCCCCTCAGAAAAGGATTTTTACCTTAATTTGTCAGTTTAGCTATTTACCACAGTCTGAAAAAAAGAAATGGCGCGGTTTATCATCAATGGGTACTTAAATGTACGTACCCATTGGTGGTAGACAAAATTATATTACGACATATATGTTTTGGTATTGATCTGCACAATATCTAGACATTAGCAAAAATCGAGGATTATTACAAAATAAGAGCCCTCCTTTAAGTATGTAAACTGGTTACTGTAGTATTTGTGAGCGCACAGAAGTGACACCATTCGAGAAATTTATTAACACATTGACCTTCAAGAAATGGGTCAAGGTTGGACCTTGAAATGCAGGTCAGTTTGGTCGCTTGCAGGAGAATTCATGGACAAATCTTCAGGAAGTCACTTGTAACAAGTGAGAATTTGAGTTATGTCTCGCGTAGGAATATGGCAGGGTGTTCTGAAGCGAAAACGTTAGAAAGAAATGGAAAGAGAACGATAGCTTTCCGTAAGACAGAGGGCGGTTCTCCGGGAGTCGTCTTCTGCTCTGGTTACTGGTCGACTATGATGGGAGAGAAAGCTACAATGTTGGAGGAATTTTGTAGGAAGAAAAAATTGGCATATGTCAGGTACTTTCTGTTCTTTTTTATATTAAATGAATAGATTACAGTGACTGTTTGTTGCGTCGTTACAAATTTTTATTTTATTTAACTTTTCTTTTTATTTGTGGGTTGTTGTGGTGCAAAATGTTTGACATTTATAGATGTAAAACTTACTGGAAATTATCTGAAAATTATAACACTGGCCTTCACAGTTATTACTGGCATAAAATATAGAAAGAGATGTTAGTATAATCTCCATAAATGAATATGAAAACTATATTTCTGTTAGTATGCTGTACTACTATACTCAGTACATATTGGTACCATGCAGTGCCAGTAACGGGTACATGTGCCATATTGATAAGTGGGTCTTTGGTATTGTGGTGGTGGTAGGGGTATTTCTGTTTCGGGTCTTTGTTTTTTCAACCCAATACATTATATTAATAGCAATAAAGTTGTGTATATATATATATTAAGGTTTGACTACCAGTGTTGTGGGGCCTCCCCTGGTGACCCCCGTGAGGCTACCCTGAGCCACTGGAAGGAAGATGTACTGGATGTACTGGATCTGTTAACACAGGGACCACAAGTAGGTGCCCCAGTATCAAATGAGCTTTTTTTATTTCTTCCTCTTTTTTTCAAAATAAATAGCCTTCGGCAATAGTTTAGCATCTATTGTGACCAGCCAGGTAAGGGTTAGATAACATGTAGTCAAAATTAAGCGGGACCAAACACGACAGTAGTAATGCACCACCCATAATTGTCATTAATCCTCATCATTTCAGATTATTGTAGGTTCCAGTATGGGTGGCTGGCTGGGTCTTATAGCAGCCATGGAGAGGCCTGAGAGAGTACAGGCCTTTATTGGAATTGCAGCCTCACCAGATTTTCCTGACAGAAAATTTCAACAGATGCCAAAACAGGTAAATAAAATTATATTTGTGTTTGTCTCAGATTTAACAAGTATTTTAAGTTTATGAGTATAAAGGTGTGCATAAATTATTAAAAAATGATTGTTTTATTTAATCTTATTTTTCTTTTTATTTATTTTTCAATTCATTAATTTTTTCATATTTTTTTATTATTTTTTAGTTGAAACATAGCTTTAAATATTGCCACATATTTTGTCTTACATACCTTTTTCCAGTATAAGCACCAAAATTATCTGTACCATAATACAGCAAATGAAAAAATAACATTTTTTCCATGCTCTATTTATTTATTTATTTATTTATTTATTTAATCCTCAGGTTCAAGAGAAAATCATGACTACAGGGGAAGTGGACTACCCCTCCTCCTATGGACAGTTCATCATGACAAGAGACTTTCTTCTTGACTCTCGACAACACAATATTCTGCATTTTCCAACTATTCCAGTCCATCGGCCAATCAGATTGTTGCATGGAGTCAAAGATGATGCCGTACCGTACATGCTTTCACTTTCTTTAATGCAAAAATTAGAAAGTAATGACATTGATGTGATACTAAGAAAAGATGGAGATCATAGACTTTCTAGAGAGGAAGATTTGCAACTGTTGTTAAATGCAGTTGATGAAATGGTGAAAAAAGTACAAGGAGGAAGTGTGTTATCATCTTTATGATGAATATAATTTAAATACCAATATAAATATACATTTTGTTTTAGGACTATTTCACATAATTTTTCTAAAATATATCATTTTCCACTTTTGCCTTATCTATTACAGTAAAATTTTTATGCAGGAAGGAAAGGGTGAGTTACAGTTGTCTTAAAATCCTATTTATAAGTTCTGGAAGTTTTCTGGAGGTGAAAATTATATTTGGAAAAAAACTGTAAAATGTCAATAATCATAAGACATTTAAGCCGTTATCATCAGGTGGAGTGCTCTTCCTCAGTGAACCTTGTTAACGTATTTCACACTTTGCAATAAAAAATACTCATAATGACTTGGGAGTACATTACATCCGTAATAGTTTCATTATGAGGGTATTATTATTATTTCAAGTCAGTATTTTGTATTTAGCCAGGATATGGATAAATGTTGCGGACATTTTTTCATGTGTGATAAGAAAATTTAAAAATAAATATGTGCCGTAAATAATTCCACATGATTTCATTCCCTGGAGTTTGCTGTCATGTTGTGTGATAAAAAAAGTAATCACCTTGATCGCCTTCATCATCTCTTAATTATGTAAATACGTAAATCTTTATTCTTTTTAATAAGTAATTTTTACTATACTGATTAAAAAGTAATTTAATTGTCAAGATATTTCAAGTAGCCAAAAGATAAAATATGGTTGGGTGAGGGAAAGGTACACGCCGAGAAAAATGACGATTAGAATAATGATGATGTTGTGTAAAAGAATTAATAAATAGAATCTCTTCTTTAAACGAGGTCTTGGTTTTGTCGAAGTGACGATTTAAAATCGCAGTGATTAGTATAGGCAACTAAAAATAGCTGGTTACTTCCAGCGAGCGTGGTAGTTTACAAAGGTATATCGTCACCCCCTCTGCCTATGGAATGCAAGCTGATCTTTGACAGGTCGTTACCTCTATTCAGAACAACCAGGACAATGTCGCTGCCGCAGTAAAAATGGATCGATGAGGGAAAATCCCCTCGTCATATCTAAAATCACCAGATTGGCATTCAGTGCACTGCATTGCACAATGTCTAACACGCGGCAAACGCAGCACGAGTGCTTGTGTCAATATTTCTCTAACAAGTAAGAAAAAATACTCAGTGATAAATTGATTATTCAGTGGTCGATCTTTCTCTGCGCCAAAGCAGAGTAAAGCAAGCAAAACGAGACAAAACCAGGCAAGTTTCTGTCTTTGCGACCTACACATTAGAGTAAAATAGGCAAGACAAAAACGACTGCCATTGCCCCTCTCCCCACTTCATTGTGTCTGGATTTGTTAGTATTGCTACCTCACTAGCGGTATGCTAGTAAAGGTAGAATGGATGTCAATCCCAATATATTTTTTGTTTAAAAGCAACTGCCAATGTAAACAACGAGAACAATAACATAATGTACAGCATATAATACAAAATAATAATTTGAAAAAAACTAAGAAAATAGAAATGATGATGATTAAAAAGGAAATAAAATGATGCCAAAAAAAACCTACGGTACATTTAATTTTAATCATTGAATTAAATACTCTCTAAAGCTCTCTCTAAAACCGACTGACGTAGGTAGAAATCACATGACTCAGCACAATGTAAAGGTCAGTGACACAATAACTTGTTCAGGGTCGCAAGCAAACATTAACTTTTCAGAAAAGGCTCTTAGTGAATGAGACTTTGGAAGGTTGACAACTAGGAATTCTAGTGGGAAGTTTTCAGTCTTTATCAGATGTCATTGTCGCAAAAGTGTTCGATAAGCTGTACATCCAACTTCAGTTCATTTTGATTATACACCTCGGCGAATCTACAGGTAATGTTGGAGACCGTCTGTTGTTTTATGTATTGATATAGAATAAATTAATTAAATCGGTAGTTGTAGTTAAATATTGCTTTTGTTTTGATGTGATTTGTTTTGATGTGATTTTTCTAGTAAAATTGTTGAGTAAAGTTTATTTACGATTCAATTTAAATTTATTTTGATATAGAAAAATGTCGGCGGCGCTACTTAAGAGCAGTCCGATTGAAAATTCGTCTTTTGACAGCGGTTATGAAGGCAGTTACGACGGCAGTGACAACGTTAACAGTCTTGGTCATGCTGTCGACATTGCCAAACAAGACGTGCTGCATGAATTTCAGACCATAGGGCAAAAGATAGAAGGTGAAATCCGTCGTCTTCGCCACGAAAATTTAGACAAGAATTCACGCATCCAGCAGATGGGCATAGAGGTCGATCAGCAGCAAGATATGGTTCAGCAGCTAACATCTGAGGTAGAGGGCATGAAGGAAAATCTCGAGAAAGAAAAAAGTCAGAGGAAAAAACTGTTTGAAGAGTTGCAGCAGTTGAATATCAAAAAAGAGGAGTTTAAGAGGAGCGTTGAAAGAGAGAGAAAAGAAAAAGAGGTTCAGTTAGTTAAACTTCAAGACCTAAGTAAAGAAAACGAGAAGCTACAAGCTACACTTTGCGCCGCCGAGTCTGAGAGAGGACAACTTCGGTATACCCTGGGTAAAACAAATGGCGAGCTGCACAACACTCAGACGGAACTCGATCTTGCAAAGAGCAGTGTGAAAAAGTTAAGAGAAGAGAAGATGAAAATTACCTCCGAACTTCAGGACGAACGAGCCGAGAAAGAGGAGACCCAACAAATGCTTCAAAAAACAGTGAAGCAAAAGGATAAATATGCTGAACAAGTACAACAACTTGAGGCCCAGAAAGCTACGCTGCAAACATCCCTCGACGTCGCCAATTTAACCCTTAAGAAAACCCAAGAAAATTTGCAACAAAATGTCGCTGAACTGATGGCAGAGATAAAGAAACTTGAAGATGAGCGCTCCGCCTTGCAACATACTATTCAAGAACAAATCAGTGCTATGGATCGGATACATCATCTGGCAACTGAGCAGTCAAAAAACTTTAACGACAAGAATGCCCAGCTGCAACGTCTTACAGACGAGTTATTGGATAAACAGAAGACACTTGAAGAAGTCACTCGTAAAAAGGACATACAAGTGGAAGAAATCAGAACCCAGGTTCAAGAGGCGTTGGAAAAAGAAGACGAGAGGACAGCGAAGGCGGAAGAAGACAATTTGACTACTCTTAATTGCATTAAATTAGCCAATAAGGGGATTGAGTCGAGCATGTCAAGCAGAGAACTCAAGGCTATACTTTCCGACATAAAGAAAATCCTGGAGCCATGCGCCGCTAAGATAAACGCATCAACCGCGGGTGACAAAAGATCCAATTTGGCCACGTTAAGGGCTTTTATGAAAACCTGGAGAAAGGGAAAACTTTCAACAGGTAGGCCTAAAACAAGATAATGACTCTATATTATATCTATTTATTTATGTTTCATGTGTGTATCATTGGTGGCCTTGCAAGTCATTTTAATATGACCCAAACATTTACCACGTGTTTTGGTCACTACGGTTGCCTATTGCATTTTGTCCCTTTTTTATATTCTTTTTTATTTTTTCTTTTTGGTTTACAAGTGAAAACATTAAAGATGGTATGAATTACTCCATCATCTAAAGTAAACTGTAAATATTACAGATCGCAAACAGAAAGAGTTATATCTGGAGAACATACGACGTCACTACACACGCCTAGTGGACGGATTGGGCTATCACCTGGACACCGCCTCTGGTCAAGATCTCCTGGACAAACTCTACCAGGATGGCATTATAGAAGAGGCTGAACTTGAGGCACTAAGGAATACAGCGCAGAAACCACAGAGATCCAGAAAATTCCTCGAAATACTGAAGTCTAAGAATGTGAAGGTTTTCCAGAGGCTCATCAAGATCCTGCGACAAGACCCCCACCGTGAGCACTTGGCCTGTGCGGTAGAAGGAACCACGCATCCCGGTGAGCGCGCGTGCGCGTGTGGGGCTGGAGGGACGGGGGAATATAAGGCGTAAACGAAATCACGAGCAACTTAATAGAATATATTAATTTTCTCTAGATGCTCGCAGCAGCATGTGGTACAATTCAGTCTAACGTTACGTGAAAGATTTATCTAATTGCTAAAAGAAGTGAATTAAATGCTAGTTAGAATTAGATATTCCAGCTATTCGACAGCTTATATTTATATTGCATTTTGAGAATAGGATGACTTAAACTGATATACAGTCTCAAGTTCATTTTGATATCTTAAGTGTTTCGAACTACTTAAAGAACATTAAGCGCCTTGAAATTTAATCACATCATGGGGGTTTTGTTTTTCAATCTTTAGAGCTATCAGATGGTGCTGACACCGACAGCGACAACAATGACAATGACGAAACTCAAGAGAGCCAACAGGATTCCAGTCACGTGCCTGTAGTCACAAGAGCGGAGACCACACTTTAAGTCAAAGACTTATCAATGGCGTTTTTACAGAACCAAACATTTATTTTTAAATATTAAAATATGACAACGTTTATACAAGACGATTAAGATTTCAAAGAAACTCGTATGCCTCTTGCAATTAATTAACTATACATATTCTCTCATAACCCTTAAAAGGGCTGACTCCACTCTCAACCCCACCCCCTTTCTTTAGGATATGCATTTTGTACATAGTATCGAGTTGGTGGTATAGAATTTAGATTCTGGTAGATTAGGAAACAAGGTGTCTTCGCTAGATTCATTTTATTTTATTTTTGCGAAATTTGCACAATGCGTCTTCCTTGAATTGATTTTTGCCTCTTTTATAGAACTTAATGTTATCACCAAAGATACTTTAAAAAGGTGAAACATATCATCAGGTCTAAGCTTGCTGTTAGATTTAAGACTACACGATTCATGGTTCATGGAATTGGAATTTCACGAGTGGCACCTCACGGCGATAAGAGGGTTAACCATCCACATGTACCCGTAAAGCCATCATATGACTTATGGCCACGGGAAATCCCGGTAATAGTTTACNGTGGTGTTTATCATGCTGACCAGTCAGGTGACCTGAGAGAAAGACATAAAATCTAATTTAGACATCAATACTGGTAATTGTAAATATCTTCAAAAACTTATAAAATTTTTGATTTCATTTTAAAAGATTAAAATAAATGAAGTATATGGCATTTGAACCAATGTTTCAAAACTATCATAGACAAAGTTTTTTGTGAAGGGTGTTTATGATAGTTTTGAAATATTGGTTCACATGCCATATACTTCATTTATTTTATTTTGTGACCCTCAGGTTCTAAAATCTACAAGTTAGACTAAAGCCAAAACAGTGGCAAGTTACTGAAATTGTTCACTAAAGTACTAATTTTTAATATCCTAGCTCCAGCCTTTTTGTCATTTGTTAACATTATAATTCATCACCTGCTCCATTGCATCCTGGTGTGGGGCAGTCTGCATCAGCAAAGATATTCACTGTAATGCTCTCCTCTGGTTCTACACTGCTCTCTTTCTTCTCCTTCTTGGAGTTCTTGCTAACACTACTGTGATCTGTGTCTGAACTCTCTGAGCCAGTGGTGGATTTCTGGGTTTTCTTGGCTGGGCGGCCTAACAACACAAAATCTATTTTCACAAAGGGAGTCACTTTAGTGTAGTTCTTTTCACTGCACACATTTTAACTCCTTCAAGAAGATGCCAATGTTCCCACTTATATATGAATTAAGGTTTTTGTTCAAAAACAGAAATTGCGACAAAACTGGTTATTACTGCAATGGCCAGCAAACATTATTATATGCATATATAAAACATTTAATGTAAATGTATTCTGCCATTTTCTAGACAACCCTGTACCTCCCTTTAAGTATTTTAAGTGGTTTCACCTGGAGATTTTTTAGGAGATTGTTCACTTTTTGTGCTGACAGGTGTCTTCTTTGTTTCCAAATTTTCCCGAGCAGTTGATCTCCGAGTGCGGCGTGGGGTTGGCTCTTCAGAGCTCTCACTGTCCGAGTTTGATCCTGAACTGCTGCTTGAACTGGAAGAGGAGCCACTTGCCTCCCTCTAAGTGAGTAAAAAAATAAACGAGAACATTTATTAAAGAAAACAAAATTCTACATAGGGGGATTTTTTTTCTTTAGTCAAATGCAGTTTGATTTGTCTTTATCAAAATTCTACCACTCCTCAGCAGCATCAATAATAATAACATTTACCATAACCATTACAACCTCATCGCATACGTAAGGCACACCATAAATGTTAAATACAATATGAATCGCCGTATTCAGAATAACAGAAAACAGAATGGTCAATAGTGATAAAGACTAATTTTCCCTACTTCCTTTTTTCTCTCAATTTTATTGATCAGATTTTGCACATCGTATAAACTATTCTTTGCCATCATTCCCTATTTCCATATACATACAATATACCTCAATAGATGAGCAGGGTCTATTTCAATTACTCACCTTTCTCTTTGGCATTTTGGCCCCTCAGAAAAGGATTTTTACCTTAATTTGTCAGTTTAGCTGTTTACCACGGTCTGAAAAAAGAAATGGCGCGGTTTATCATCAATGGGTACTAAAATGTACGTACCCAATGGTGGTAGACAAAATTATATTACGACATATATGTGTTGGTATTGATCTGCACAATATCTAGACATTAGCAAAAATCGAGGATTATTATAAAATAAGAGCCCTCCTTTAAGTATGTAAACTGGTTACTGTAGTATTTGTGAGCGCACAGAAGTGACACCATTCGAGAAAGTTATTAACACATTGACCTTCAAGAAATGGGTCAAGGTTGGACCTTGAAATGCAGGTCAGTTTGGTCGCTTGCAGGAGAATTCATGGACAAATCTTCAGGAAGTCACTTGTAACAAGTGTAAATTTGAGTAATGTCTCGCGTAGGAATATGGCAGGGTGTTCTGAAGCGAAAACGTTAGAAAGAAATGGAAAGAGAACGATAGCTTTCCGTAAGACAGAGGGCGGTTCTCCGGGAGTCGTCTTCTGCTCTGGTTACTGGTCGACTATGATGGGTGAAAAAGCTACAGTGTTGGAGGAATTTTGTAGGAAGAAAAAATTGGCATATGTCAGGTATTTTCTGTCCTTTTTATGTTTAATGAATAGATTACAATCACTGTTTGTTGCGTCGCTACAAAATTTAATTTTTCCATTTTAGTGTTTTTTTTTATTTTTGGGTTGTTGTGGTGCAAAATATTTAATATTTATAGAAGTTAAATATACTGGAAATTATCTGGATGTTATAACACTCACCCTTTTAGTTATTAATGGCAGAAAAATGATGTTAGAATAATTTCCATAGGTGAATGTGTAAAATACATTCCTGTTAGCAAGCTGCGCTGTTCATACCATGAAGCACCTGTACCATGATGATGAAGTACCTGTACCATGAAGTACCTGTACCGATACCTACTGTACCATATTTTTAATGGGCCTTCAGTCAGTGTGGTGTATTGTATATTAAGGTTTGACTACCAGTGTTGTGGGGCCTCCCCTGGTGACCCTCGTGAGGCCACCCTGAGCCACTGGAAGGAAGATGTACTGGATGTGCTGGATCTTTTAACACAGGGACCACAAGTAGGTGCCCCAGTATCACAATGAGCTTTTTTTTATTTCTTCCTCTTTTTTTCAAAATAAATAGCCTTCAGCAATAATTTAGCATCTATTGTGACCAGCCAGGTAAGGGTTAGATAACGTGTAGTCAAAATAAAGCGGGACCAAACATGACAGTAGTAATGCACCACCCATAATTGTGATTATTCCTCATCATTTCAGATTATTGTAGGTTCCAGTATGGGTGGCTGGCTGGGTCTTATAGCAGCCATGGAGAGGCCTGAGAGAGTACAGGCCTTTATTGGAATTGCAGCCTCACCAGATTTTCCTGACAGAAAGTTTCAGCAGATGCCAAAACAGGTAAATAAAATTGTACTTTGAAAACTTTTATGTGTTTGTCTCTGATTTAACAAGTATTTTTAGTTTATGAATATGAATATGTGCATAAATTATGATTGTTTTACCTTATCCTATTTTTTTTTTCATTTATTTTTTAAATTCATTAATTTTTTTAAGGAATTGAAGAGTCGCTATAAATGTTGCCACATTTTTATTCTTATGTACTTTTTTCGATATAAGCACCAAAATTATCTGTACCATAATGAGTAAACATTTTTCATTCCATGGATCAATTATTATTTACTTAGTTGTTTATTTATTTCATCCTCAGGTTCAAGAGAAAATCATGACTACGGGAGAGGTGGACTACCCCTCCTCCTATGGACAGTTCATCATGACAAGAGACTTTCTTCTTGACTCTCGACAACACAATATTCTGCATTTTCCAACTATTCCAGTCCATCGGCCAATCAGATTGTTGCATGGAGTCAAAGATGATGCCGTACCGTACATGCTTTCACTTTCTTTAATGCAAAAATTAGAAAGTAATGACATTGATGTGATACTTAGAAAAGATGGAGACCATAGACTTTCTAGAGAGGAAGATTTGCAACTGTTGTTAAATGCAGTTGATGAAATGGTGAAAAAAGTACAAGGAGGAAATGTGTTATCATCTTTATGATGAATATAATTTAAATACCAGTATAAATGTACTTTTTGTTTTAGGACTGTTTCACATAATTTTTCTAAAATATATCATTTTCCACTTTCAAAACCCTTTGCCTTATCTGTTACAGTAAAAGTTTTATGCAGGAAGGAGAGGGTGAGTTACAGTTGTCTTAAAATCCTATTTATAAGTTATGGAAGTTTTCTGGAGGTGAAAATTTTATTTGGTAAAAACTGTAAAATGTCAATAATCATGAGACATTTAAGCCGTTATCATCAGGAAAATGGCATAAGTGGAGTGCTCTTCTCAGTGAACCTTGTTAACATATTTCACATGTTGCAATAAAAAATACTCATAAATGACTTGGGAGTACATTACATCCGTAATAGTTTCATTATGAGGGTATTATTATTTCAAGTCAGTATTTTGTGTTTAGCCAGGATATGGATAAATGTTGCGGACATTTTTTCATGTGTGATAAGAAAATTTAAAAATAAATCTGTGCCGTAAATAATTCCCCATGATTTCATTCCCTGGAGTTTGCTGTCATGTTGTGTGATAAAAAAAAGTAATCACCTTGATCGCCTTCTGTAAATACGCAAATCTTTATTTTTTTAATAAGTAATTTTACTTTACTGATTAAAAAAAATAATTTAATTGTCAAGATATTTCAAGTAGCCAAAAGGTGAAATATGGTGGGGTGGGGAAAAGGTACACGACGAGAAAAATGACGATTAGAATAATGATGATGGGTAAAGGAATTAATAAAAAGAATCTCTTCTTTAAGGGAGGTCTTGGTTTTGTCGGAAGTGACGATTTAAAATCGCAGTGATTAGTATAGGCAACTAAAAATAGCTGGTTACTTCCAACGAGCGTGATAGTGTACAAAGGTGTATCGTCACCCCCCTCTGCCCATGGAATGCAAGCTGATCTTTGACAGGTCGTTACCTCTATTCAGAACAACCAGGGCAATGTGTCAGTAAAAATGGGTCGATAAGGGGAATTCCCCTCGTCATATCTAAAATCACCAGATTGGCATTCAGTGCACTGCATTGCACAATGTCTAACACGCGGCAAACGCAGCACGAGTGCTTGTGTCAATATTTCTCTAACAAGTAAGAAAAAATACTCAGTGATAAATTGATTATTCAGTGGTCGATCTTTCTCTGCGCCAAAGCAGAGTAAACCAAGCAAAACGAGGCAAAACCAGGCAAGTTTCTATCTTTGCGACCTACACATTGCAGTAAAATAGGCAAGACAAAAACGACTGCCATTGCCCCTCTCCCCACTTCATTGTGTCTGGATTTGTTAGTATTGCTGCCTCACTAGCGGTATGCTAGTAAAGGTAGAATGGATGTCAATCCCAATATATTTTTTTGTTTAAAAGCAACTGCCAATGTAAACAACGAGAACAATAACATAATGTACAGCATATAATACAAAATAATAATTTGAAAAAAACTAAGAAAATAGAAATGATGATGATTAAAAAGAAAGTAAAATGATGCCAAAAACCCTACGGTACATTTAATTTTAATCATTGAATTAAATACTCTCTAAAGCTCTCTCTAAAACCGACTGACGTAGGTAGCAATCACATGACTCAGCACAATGTAAAGGTCAGTGACACAATAACTTGTTCAGGGTCGCAAGCAAACTAACTTTTCAGAAAAGACTTTTAGTGAATGAGACTTTGGAAGGTTGACAACTAGGAATTCTAGTGGGAAGTTTTCAGTCTTTATCAGATGTCATTGTCGCAAAAGTGTTCGATAAGCTGTANTACACCTACTCTTAAAATGAATTAGGCCTATACTTTGAATTTATATGCAAGCGTTCCAACTCGCCCTCTTGTTCCAACTCACCCCACTGCCTGTTCCAACTCACCCCGTGGGTGGGGTGAGATGGAACGTTTTAAGAGGCAACTTTGAGCATTTATTGCTCTTAAATGAAAAGACCTACTTGATGTTTTATTTCATAGATGAGTGCGGCATATAATTTTCCCCTATCAGATTTTTTATTTTTGTCCCCAAAGCTTTGACTGCTGAGATATCGCAAAAAAGGTGAAAACTGTTCCAACCAACCCCGCTCTCCCCTACATCCAACTTCAGTTCATTTTGATTATACACCTTGGCGAATCTACAGGTAATGTTGGAGACTGTCTGTTATTTATATGTATTGATATAGAATAAATTAATTAAATCGGTAGTTGTAGTTAAATATTGCTTTTGTTTTGATGTGATTTAAGGTTGCGTACAGTTAAGGTATTATCTGGTAATATTGTTGAGTAAAGTTTATTTACGATTCAATTTAAATTTATTTTGATATAGAAAAATGTCGGCGGCGCTACTTAAAAGCAGTCCGATTGAAAATTCGTCTTTTGACAGCGGTTGTGAAGGCAGTTACGACGGCAGTGACAACGTTAACAGTCTTGGTCATGCTGTCGACTTTGACAAACAAGACGTGCTGCATGCATTTCAGACCATAGGGCAAAAGATAGAAGGTGAAATCCGTCGTCTTCGCCAAGAAAATTTAGACAAGAATTCACGCATCCAGCAGATGGGCATTGAGGTCCATCAGCAGCAAGATATGGTTCAGCAGTTAACATTTGAGGTAGAGGGCATGAGGGAAAATCTCGAGAAAGAAAAAAGTCAGAGGAAAAAACTGTTTGAAGAGTTGCAGCAGTTGAATATCAAAAAAGAGGAGTTTAAGGAGAGCGTTGAAAGAGAGAGAAGAGAAAAAGAGGTCCAGTTAGTTAAACTTCAAGACCTAAGTAAAGAAAACGAGAAGCTACAAGCTACACTTTGCGCCGCAGAGTCTGAGAGAGGACAACTTCGGTATACCCTGGGTAAAACAAATGGCGAGCTGCACAACACTCAGACGGAACTCGATCTTGCAAAGAGCAGTGTGAAAAAGTTAAGAGAAGAGAAGATGAAAATTACCTCCGAACTTCAGGACGAACGAGCCGAGAAAGAGGAGACCCAACAAATGTTTCAAAAAACAGTGAAGCAAAAAGATAAATATGCTGAACAAGTACAGCAACTTGAGGCCCAGAAAGCTACGCTGCAGACATCCCTCGACGTCGCCAATTTAACCCTTAAGAAAACCCAAGAAAATTTGCAACAAAATGTCGCTGAACTGATGGCAAAGATAAAGAACCTTGAAGATGAGCGCTCCGCCTTGCAACATACTATTCAAGAACAAATCAGTGCTATGGATCGGATACATCATCTGGCAACTGAGCAGTCAAAAAACTTTAACGACAAGAATGCCCAGCTGCAACGTCTTACAGACGAGTTACGGGATAAACAGAAGACACTTGAAGAAGTCACTCGTATAAAGGACATACAAGTGGAAGAAATCAGAACCCAGGTTCAAGAGGCGTTGGAAAAAGAAGACGAGAGGACAGCGAAGGCGGAAGAAGACAATTTGACTACTCTTAATTGCATTAAATTAGCCAATAAGGGGATTGAGTCGAGCATGTCAAGCAGAGAACTCAAGGCTATACTTTCCGACATAAAGAAAATCCTGGAGCCATGCGCCGCTAAGATAAACGCATCAACCGCGGGTGACAAAAGATCCAATTTGGCCACGTTAAGGGCTTTTATGAAAACCTGGAGAAAGGGAAAACTTTCAACAGGTAGGCCTAAAACAAGATAATGACTCTATATTATATCTATTTATTTATGTTTCATGTGTGTATCATTGGTGGCCTTGCAAGTCATTTTAATATGACCCAAACATTTACCACGTGTTTTGGTCACTACGGTTGCCTATTGCATTTTGTCCCTTTTTTATATTCTTTTTTATTTTTTCTTTTTGGTTTACAAGTGAAAACATTAAAGATGGTATGAATTACTCCATCATCTAAAGTAAACTGTAAATATTACAGATCGCAAACAGAAAGAGTTATATCTGGAGAACATACGACGTCACTACACACGCCTAGTGGACGGACTGGGCTATCACCTGGACACCGCCTCTGGTCAAGATCTCCTGGACAAACTTTACCAGGAGGGCGTTATAGAAGAGGCTGAACTTGAGGCACTAAGGAATACAGCGCAGAAACCACAGAGATCCAGAAAATTCCTCGAAATACTGAAGTCTAAGAATGTGAAGGTTTTCCAGAGGCTCATCAAGATCCTGCGACAAGACCCCCACCGTGAGCACTTGGCCTGTGCGGTAGAAGGAACCAAGCATCCCGGTGAGCGCGTGCGTGCGCGTGTGGGGCTGGAGGGACGGGGAATAAAAGGCGTAAACGAAATCACGAGCAACTTAATAGAATATATTAATTTTCTCTAGATGCTCGCAGCAGCATGTGGTATAATTCAGTCTAACGTTACGTGAAAGATTTATCTAATTGCTAAAAGAAGTGAATTAAATGCTAGTTAGAATTAGATATTCCAGCTATTCGGCAGCTTATATTCATATTGCATTTTGAGAATAGGATGACTTAAACTGATATACAGTCTCAAGTTCATTTTGATATCTTAAGTGTTTCGAACTACTTAAAGAACATTAAGCGTCTTGAAATTAAATCACATCATGGGGGTTTTGTTTTTCAATCTTTAGAGCTATCAGATGGTGCTGACACCGACAGCGACAACAATGACAACGACGAAACTCAAGAGAGCCAACAGGATTCCAGTCACGTGCCTGTAGTCACAAGAGCGGAGACCACACTTTAAGTCAAAGACTAATCAATGGCGTTTTTACAGAACCAAACACTTATTTTTAAATATTAAAATATGACAACGTTTATACAAGACGATTAAGATTTCAAAGAAACCCGTATGCCTCTTGCAATTAATTAACTATACATATTCTCTCATAACCCTTAAAAGGGCCGACTCCACTCTCAACCCCACCCCCTTTCTTTAGGATATGCATTTTGTACATAGTATCGAGTTGGTGGTATAGAATTTAGATTCTGGTAGATTAGGAAACAAGGTGTCACCGCTAGATTTATTTTATTTTATTTTTGCGAAATTTGCACAATGCGTCTTCCTTGAATTGATTTTTGCCTCTTTTATAGAACTTAATGTTATCACCAAAGATACTTTAAAAAGGTGGAACATATCATCAGGTCTAAGCTTGCTGTTAGATTTAAGACTACATGATTCATGGTTCATGGAATTGGAATTTCACGAGTGCCACCTCACGGCGATAAGAGGGTTAACCATCAACATGTACCCGTAAAGCCATCATATTACTTATGGCCACGGGAAATCCCGGTAATAGTTTACAGAGAGATTACATAATTCAATAATCAGGTCGCAGGCAGTGAGCAATCTACTGTATCTCCGAAGTTTTTCAATGTAATTCCTAACTGAAAGACTTTGATAGGATTGCAAATAAAAAATTCCTGAACATAAAAATGAGACGAATAGATATTGAAACATAGACCTATCTTTTTCATCAGTGTTTTTATTTTCAGTTTTGGCATGTCGCCCTAACATATTATTTTTTTCATTTGCGTACATAGTATGCTATTTTTATCAAGAAATTAGCTTATATTTTGACATGTTTAATTAGGTGTCGACTCTATTTTCTAATAACTTTATATTGCATGGATATTTGCATTATTCCAGTACTTGTTAAAGGGGAATAAACGTTCAAATGCACTACAAAAGTAGTATTTTATCTTATATTACCACTGTAAAAAAAAAGGGGGTGGGGAAGAAAGAAATTTCAATAGAATGCATGTTAAAACAGTATAGATAAAAAAGGTTCCAGAATGCCTCATCACTTATTCCAGTGCATTATTCACACTATCTGACTGCAGTATCGATTTTATTTTTGTGAAAATGCACATATCTGTCATGCATTTTCGAAACAAATATTTTATAAAAATATTTTTCGAACATCAATTCAGCAAAAATCATTTATAGCTATTATTTCATTAAATCAAATTGTCAACAAATTTTGTGGTTTCACTATCAAGTGTGCAACAATATAGATCTTACATGGCTCTGTGGCAACAACAATGCTTGATTTCAATCTCAATGGGTAAGGAAAGGAAAGGTAAACATGCCGGGGCATATTTTCAAGCTAGTTTTTGACAGATTGGCAAACATTTATTCAGTCTCCACATTAAAAAGTCAGCACAATGCTTTGCATAGGTAAGTGTGGGGGGGGGGGGGGAGGGTTACCCGCAATGGCCAAATAAAGGACCTCAGCCCAGATACGTTTATTTTTTATTCAAAGGACTATCAAATTTCGGTCGACAATACCTTCCTGCACCTTCACAAGAGAGTTAACTACATGTAGGAGTGTCATAATGCCATACTACTTACAGTAAAAAATTACTAATACGATATTATTTTTCTATGGCGTGATATTTGCTGGGACACACACAAATATGAAATATGGACAGTCGGGTGGTCCCCATCTTCGTATAAAAAAAAACTGCATGAAATTTCCCCAAAACTGTTGTCACTTTAAAGGCCATGTATTCTGGTAAGTAAAGTGTGCAATTTCGGCATTACCTTCGCCTTGTTTAGGTGGTCAACAAGAACTTTTAGGATGAATGTCAGTGTTGCACTTTTGTTTGTAGGATAAACTAGATTAAAAACGAAATATGTCGCCAATAATAGGCCTGTAATATAAAAGACTTAGAACTCCCAAATGACCACATGTTCAGCCCTTACAGAGAAGATGGCCCCCATGAAGTTCCCAGAATATGTAATAACCGGAGATGCCACTGGCTCTTCCTCAAATACGGTTTTTTCTTTAACCTGAACCAGAAGATGGTAATGCTCTTTCAACTGATAGGATAGACACAAAAGGCCTACGCACCTGACCGCATCTGAAAAATACCAGTAATAAAGAGATAAAAATCTGATAAAATAAAGAACAAAACCACATACAAAGATGCTGTGAACCCACAACCACTAAACTGATGCATTACCATTCAGTTACCAGTTTTCACTAAATATCAAAATGATCTACATGTTATTGTAATGTTACATATACAAAGTCCTGGGGTTTGACCCTAATATAGGAGTCAAATTAACTCCATGAGGGTCAAGGGGTGCTGAACTCTGACTGGAGAGTCAAAAGACTCCAATCTTATTCTCAGTGAATGTTTATGTCAAGAGGAACACGCATTAAAAAGCATTCAATACGTCTTATATCGGTTGTATCGTACTCTCTGGTCGATAACCTTTTGATCCGAGTTCTAACATAAAATATCCGGTTTTGATTAAGTGCAAATATTGCCCCCCCCCCCCCTCTTCAATCAAGGCGCAGTTATTGATGTGTTTAAATGACTTTAAGCATCTGTTAATAGTTGATTGGAGAAAGTCTTTTGGCTGTATCAGGTAAAAAGATATCGGCCCAGTGGGTATTCTCGTTTAGGCGCAGTCAATGTAATCAACTTCATTATTGCCAGACAATTATATGCAGTTATCAGCAGGGAAAAATGGGATAGAAAAATCGGGCATAAGGGATGTTACTTGACGATCAAATTAAAATGGAAACTCGTTATCGCAGGAAGGAAGATCTTTATTTTTTATTTATTTATTTATTTTTATTTTTTGAAAGTAAATAACCTGTAGCAGAAATTTCTATCATGACCAGAAGGGAAAGAGTTAGATTACATATACCAGCAGTCAAAATTAAGCAGGACCAAAAAATGACAGTAGTAATGCACCACCCATAATTGTCATTATTCCTCATCATTTCAGATTATTGTAGGTTCCAGCATGGGTGGCTGGCTGGGTCTTATAGCAGCCATGGAGAGGCCTGAGAGAGTACAGGCCTTTATTGAAATTGCTGCCTCACCAGATTTTCCTGACAGAAAGTTTCAACAGATGCCTAAACAGGTAAATAAAATTTTACTTTGAAAACTCTTAAGTGTTTTCTCAGATTTTGTATTTTTAGTTAATGAGTATGTCCAAAAATTATGATTGTTTTATCTTATCTTATTTATTTTTTATTTTTAAATTCATTTTTTTAGGTATAAAGTATAGCTCTAAATGTTGTCACATTTTTATGTACTTTTTTTTAATATGAGCACCAAATTTATCTGTACCAGCAAATGAGAAAACATTTTTCGTTCCATGGTTCACTTATTATTTATTTATTTATTTATTTATTTATTTATTTATTTATTTATTTCATCCTCAGCTTCAAGAGAAAATCATGACTACAGGGGAAGTGGACTACCCCTCCTCCTATGGACAGTTTATCATGACAAGAGACTTTCTTCTTGACTCTCGACAGCACAATATTCTGCATTTTCCAACTATTTCAGTCCATCGGCCAATCAGATTGTTGCATGGAGTCAAAGATGATGCCGTACCGTACATGCTTTCACTTTCTTTAATGCAAAAATTAGAAAGTAATGACATTGATGTGATACTTAGAAAAGATGGAGATCATAGACTTTCTAGAGAGGAAGATTTGCAACTGTTGTTAAATGCAGTTGATGAAAAGGTGAAAAAAGTACAAGGAGGAAATGTGTTATCATCTTTATGATGAATTTAATTTAAATACCAATATAAATATACATTTTGTTTTAGGACTATTTCACATATTTTTTCTAAAATATTTTATTTTACACTTTCAAAACCTTTTGCCTTATCTATTACAGTTTAAAATTTATTCAGGAAAGAGAGGGTGAGTTACAGTTGCCTTAAAATCCTATTTATAAGTTTTTGAAGTTTTCTGCAGGTGAAAATTTTACATGGAAAAAAACTGTAAAATGTCAATAATCATAAGACATTTAATCCGTTATCATCAGGGAAATGGCATAAGTGGAGTGCTTATTGCTAGAATAATAATGATGGGTAAAGGAATTAATAAAAAGAATCTCTTCTTTAATCGAGGTCTTGGTTTTGTCGGAAGGGACTATTTAAAATCGCAGTGCTTAGTATAGGCAACTAAAAATAGCTGATTACTTTCAACGAGCGTGGTAGTGTATTAAGGTGTATCGTCACTCCCTCTGCCTATGGAATGCAAGCTGATCTTTGACAGGCCGTTACCTCTATTCAGAACAACCAGGACAGTGTGGCAGTTAAAATAGGTCGATAAGGGGAATTCCCCTCGTCATATCTAAAATCACCAGATTGGCATTCGGGGCACTGCATCGTACGATGTGGAACACGCGGAAAGCGCAGCACTTGTGATTGTCTCAATATTGCTCAGACAAGTACGAAAAAAACCCAGTGGTAAACTGATTATTCAGTGGTCGACTCAGGAGACACGGTGGCCCCGTGCCCCCCCCCCTCCCCCCTTTACTTCGGAGGTAGCCCCTCCTCTGTACCAAAGCAATGTGCATGTATAACAAGCGAAAAGAGACAAAAACAAGCATATTTTCATCCCTGCGCCCAACCATTTTATATTAGCAGAAATGGGCGAGACGGAAAGTGCTGTCATTGCCCTCTCCCCCTCTTCATTGAACCTGAATTTGCTAGTGTTGCCACCTCACAATCGGCATGCTTGTAAAGGGTAAATAAATGGCAATCCAAATATTATTTTCGGTTGAAAACGAATTGCAAATATAAACAACGAGAACAATAACAGATTGTACAACTACAGCAGCAACAAATAATAATTATGATAATAATCTGAAAATAAAAAACTACAATCCAGAAATGACGATAAATAAAAAATAAAGAAAATGATGCCAAAAAATTCCCTACGATACACTGATTGAAATCATTGAATTAAATTATATATCTAATGCCGATTGACGTAGCCACCATATGACTCAGCAATATATACAGGTCATTGATACAATAACCTGTTCAGGGACGCTAGAAATCATTAACTTTTGTTCAAACAGAAAGGGCTCTCAGTGACTGAAAACGTGGCATTTGAGACTTGGACGGTTGCCCACTGGAAATTTTAGTGGGAAGTTTTCAGTCTTTATCAGATGTCAGCCTCGCACACCTTTCTGATAAGCTTTACATCTAACGTCAGTATTTTGCTTATACACTTCGGCGAATCTACAGGTAACGTCCGAGACCGCCTGTATGTACATGTAGTGATATATAATAAACTAATTTAATTGTTAGTGCAGTAAAAATATTGCTTGTATAAGGGTGTGATTTAAGTTTTTTTATAGTTGAGTTATTATATGTTATTGTTGAGTATTGTTGAGTTAAAATTTATTTACCATTCCTTTTAATTTATTTTGATAGAGGAGAATGGCAGGGACGCAACTTATAAGCAGCCCGATTGAAAATTCGTCTGTTGACAGTGGTTATCAAGGTAGTTTCGACGGCAGTGACAACAGTTTTGGTCATGCTGTAAACTTTGCTAAAGAAGACGTGCTGCGTGTGTTTGAGACCTTACAAGACGCATGGCAAAAGAAGGAAGAAGAGAACCGTCGTCTTCGTCAAGAAAATTTAGCCAAGAATAAACGCATCCAGCAGATGGGCATTGAGGTCGATCAGCAGCAAGATATGGTTCAACAGTTATCATCTGAGGTAGAGGGCATGAAGGAAAATCTCGAGAAAGAAAAAAGTCAGAGGAAAAAACTGTACGAAGAGTTGCAGCAGTCAAACATCGAAAAGGAGGAGTTGAAGGAGAGCGTTGAAAGAGAGAGAAGAGAGAAAGAGGTCCAGTTAGTTAAACTTCAAGACCTAAGTAAAGAAAACGAGAAGCTACAAGCTACACTATGCGCCGCCGAGTCTGAGAGAGGACAACTTCGGGATACCCTGGGTAAAACAAACGGGGAACTAAACAACGCGCAGAAGGAGCTCGATCTTTCAAGGAGTAGTGTGAAAAAGTTAAGAGAAGAGAAGATGAAAATTACCTCCGAACTTCAGGACGAACGAGCCGAGAAAGAAGAGACTCAACAAACGCTTCAGAAAACAGTTAAGCAAAAAGATAAATATGCTGAACAAGTACAGCAACTTGAGGCCCAGAAAGCTACTCTGCAAACATCCCTCGACGACGCCAGCTTAACCCTTGAGAAAAACCAAGAAAATCTGCAGCTTAAAGAAAACAGAGTCGCTGAACTGATAACAAAGACCAAAAACCTTGAAGATGAACGTTCTGACTTGCAACAGACTTTGCAAAAACGAATCAGCGATTTGAATCAGGCACAGCTTCAGGTAACAGAGCAGTCAAAGGACATGGAAAACAAGAATACCCAGCTGCAACGACTTAAAAACGAGTTATTGGACAACCACAAGACACTTGAAGAGATGACTCGTAAAAAGGACAAGCAAGTAGAAGAAAATGTTAAAATCAGGACCCAGGTGCAAGAGGCGTTGGAAAAAGAAGACGAGAGGACAGCGAAGGCGGACGAGACTTTAACAGACGTTAATTTGACTACTCTTAAATGTATAAAATTAGCCAATAAGGGGATAGATTCGAGCAAAGAACGAAAGGCGATACTTACCGACATAAAGAAAATCCTGGAGCCATGCGCCGCTAAGATAAACGCAACAACTGCAGGTGACAAAAGAAGAAATTGGGCCACGTTAAGGGCTTTAATGGAAAGCTGGAAAGGAAAACTTTCAACAGGTAACACAAGTCAATTATCCTTTAATTGATTTTTTTTTTATATGGATCGTTGGTGGCCTTAATTATCGTAAGTTATTTCTATATTACCCAAAAAATCACTGTGTGTTTAGGTCACTACGATTGCCTATTACATTCTTATTCCTTTTATTTTTATTTTTTTGTTTACAAGTGAAAACGTCAAAAATGATATAAATAACTCCGTCATTTTTAAGTAAGCTGTAAATATTACAGATCGCCAACTGAAAGAGTTATATTTGGAGAACATACGACGTCACTACTTGCGTCTAGTGGACGGATTGGGCTATCACCTGGACACCGCCTCTGGTCAAGATCTCCTGGACAAACTCTACCAGGAGAGCGTTATAGAAGAGTCCGAACTTGAGGCATTACGGAATACAGCACAGAAACCAGAGAGATCCAGAAAATTCCTCGAAATACTGAAGTCTAAGAATGTGAAGGTTTTCCAAAGGCTCATCAAGATCCTGCGACACGACCCCCACCGTGAGCACTTGGCCTGTGCAGTAGAAGGGACCACGCATCCCGGTGAGCGCGCACGTGCGTGTGTGTGGTGGAGGGGGGGGGGTATAAGGCGTAAACGAAATGACAAGCAACTTAATAGATTTTCTCTAGATGATTGCAGCAGCTTGTGGTATAATTAAGTCTTACGTTACGTAAAAGATTTATGTAATTCCTAAAACAAGTGAATTAAATTAGATATTCCAACTATTCAACAGCTTATATTCATCTTGCATTTTGAGAAAAGAATGACTTAAACTAATAAACAGTCTCAAGTCATTTTGATATCTTAAGTGTTTCGAACTGCTTACAGAATTTCAAGTGTCTGGAAATTGAATCAAATCATGGGTGTTTTGTTTTTCAATCTTTAGAGCTATCAGATGGTGCTGAAACCGACAGCGACAACAATGACAACGGCGAAACCCAAGGAATCCAACAGGACTCCAACCACGTTCCTGTTGTCCAAAGGACGGAGACCACACTTTAAGTCAAAGACTAATCACCAGAAATATTTTGCATAATACCGTTAAATTTGAAAAGGTGAAACATATCGTCAGGCCTAAACATGCTATTAGATTTAAGACTACATGATTCATGGTTAATGGTTAACGTCACGGTGATAAGAGGGTTAACCATCCACATGTACCCGCAGAGCCATCAAATGACTTATAATTATGACCACGGGAAATCCCAGGAATAGTTTATAGAGATATTACAAAATTTAACAATTAGGCTCTATTCCCATAGATTTTAGATCGATCTATCCCCGCGGGGAGTCTCACTAGATTACTTTCAGATAATCCGACTTAAATGTCCGTCCCGCCTACTACAAGCTGTAAAGGGGGTAACTAACTTTCGTGTCCGCCCGGCTGACAGCTATTTAGCGTGAACCCCCAGGGAGTTAGGTCGATCTAAAGTAGGTCGATCTAATCTATGGAAATGGGGTGTTAGATAAGAGTCATGCAGTGAGCAACATACTGTATCAACGAAGTTTTTCATTGTTCTTAACCGAAAGTCTTCGATCAACTATATAATATTGTAAAAGAACATAAAAATCAGACTAATAGATCTTGACACATAGGCCTATCTTTTTCGGCAGTATTTTTATTTTCAGTATTGGCATGTTGCCCTATCACATTATATTTGTAATTTGCGTTCTTAGTAGGCCTATGTTATTTTTGTCAAGACATGAGCTGACTACTTTACATGTTTATTTTATATTACCAATGCAAAAAAGAGGGGATTAAAGAAAACAAGATAGTATTTTTTTTTTAACAGTATAGATAAAAAGGTCCCAGGGTGCCTCATCACTCATTTTTGTGCATTATTCCGCTATGTGACTGTAGTTTTGATTTTATTAAAATTAGCATGTCTGATTATTTTTTATGAAAGTACACGTATCTGCCCTGCTTTTTCGTAACAAACATTTTATAAAAGGTTTTGCAAACATGATCAATTCAGCAAACAGCATTTATACAAATTACTTTTATGACATCAGATGAAGTGGAGTGGTGCCACGATCTAAGGTGGCCAATATAGATCTTACAATAGCTCTTTCGCAACAATGACACTTGATTTTTATCTCAGTGGGGCGGGAAACGGAGGTTAACAAGGATTGCCTATTTCTAAGTTTGTTTTTGACAGATTGCCAAAACTTTTAATCAGTTTCCACGTAAGGAAAAAATCAGCACAATGCATTGCATAGGTAAGTGGGGGATTTTAGCCCGCAATGGCCAAAAAAAGGACCCCATCCCAGATACGTTTATTTTAGGGACTGTCACACGTCTCATACCTGCAAAGAGATGGTGATGTAGAACTTAGATTAGAAGACAAGGTGTCTCCACCTGAATTTTAGAAATATGGATATTATTTGCGTCTTCCTTAATTTGTTCTTTTCCTCTTTATTAGAAGTATAGTATATCACCAAATAAAGGTCTTGCATACTAGTTAAAACTGAAAAGGTAAAGCATTTCATCGGGTCTAAACAAGCTTTTAGAGTCTACTTGATTCACTGTTAAATGGAATTGAAATTCACCAGTGCCATATCACACAGATAAGAGGATAAACTGTCTATACATGTGCATGTACCCGTAGAGCCACCATATGACTTATGACGATTTTTTTTTAAACAACGTTTATTCAAAAGAATGAAGTGGAGGCAAGGCGCTGGAAGCATTATATGCTCTCCACAAAATTAAATTAAATAAGTAAATAAATAAAACTAGACTTATGTCGATGGAAAATTCCAGAATAAAAATTTTACGAGAGATACAAAGTTTAATAATCCGGTTGCAGTCAGTGTGCAAAATAACATTTTCACCTTGAACATGCCTCAAGTAAGTTATTTACAGATTGCCAAAGGTTCTATTCAGCTAAAAGAAAAAAAACCCAGCACAATGCATTGCATAGGTAAGCGGGGGATTTTAGCCTGCAATTTCCAAATAAAGGACCCCAGCCCAGATACGTTTATTTTTTCCGATGACACGGCTCACACCCTACGCTACATATTGTCGCTGTCTGCCAACCAGGCAAGTCGTATTTTATATAATGACCTAACATACTTACACAGAAGTAGCAAGGACAGAGAGGTTAGTGCGATATACAACGTTTATGTCAATATGTTATCCTTAACTGAGAGGAACAAGCGTTAAATAGATTCAATAGGTCTTGTATCGGTTGTATCGTACTCTCTGGTCGATAACCTTTTATTATCCGAGTTGTAACATAAATATCCGGTTTTGGTTAAGTGCAAATATTGTCCTCTCTCTTTAATCAATGTGTAGTTTCTTTATGCGTTTATGCGTTTAAATGACCTCAAACACCTGTTAATTGTTGAAAGTCCGTAGGCTGTGTTCAGATAAACACCTATCAGTTCAGCAGGATCTATCTATCTATCTATCTATCTATCTATCTAACTCAGCGGGGATTCACGCTAGGGCGCAGTCAATGTAATCGGTAATTTCATTATCGTCAGACAATTGTATGCAGCTAACACCAGGAAAAATTGGGATAGAAAAATCGGGTATTATACATAGATGTTACTTGACGACAAAATTAAAAGGAAAAAATGCTTTTTTTCTCTAGAAGACGAACGACCTGACGAACGACCTGACGAACGACCTGAGGTTTTTGGTTATTTCTATTGAAAGTACAATTCCATCCAAGCAAATCCCAGTAGTTGGAATAAATATATTTATTAAATCGGTTCTGAATATCGACGCCATATCAAATTTTTGTAATCTTTGTGTTAAGAACCCACTTACGTAGTCTCGTTTTTGTATGTAAATCAAGATACATTAACAAAAAATATACTGTATTTTCAAAATATTGCAGGTGAAAGAAAAGATTTTTCACCGTTCTGTGCTGAACTATTTCCCATGCTATATCAATGCAGCGATATACAGCGTTCTTTCAACCTGATCATGTGTGAGGTTATCAAAACAGATAAAACTATGAAAGGTCATTTTGGTAGTCACCTAACTGATGACGTCACTGATGTGAAAAGCAATGGACGCAGTACAAAAAAATAAGTGTATATATTATTCATTGTAACACTTGTTATTGCTTTTCAAACAAAAAACAATAGGAGATTTTATATTTAAAAGTGTGAAACCAAACAATATTCAACAGTGAAATAACAATACTGAATAATAATAATAATAATAATGATAATAATAATAATAATAATAATACTGCCAGGGGAAATGTTGAAAGAAATTCAAACTTCCGTGACATTCTTTAATTTTATTGCCATTCCGAAATTTTTAAATTATTGTTTCTCTTAGTTTTCAATGGTTTACACGGGCAAATGCATATAAACCAATGATTGTCACCAAAGGGATACAGACACTACACGGAGAATCCATCCAGGGAGTTGGACTGTATATACCTGCATATTAACAGTTATGTCAATTCTATATGACTGCCAGTGTCTGTTTAGGTACAATGTTAATAATAAATTTGGGGACAGCCGTGTGTGGGATGAGAATAGGCATTATAAATAATTTCACACTTTTCGTCTAATATATATAACATTACATAACCTGTATCCTCCTCTTAGGGGTGGACTACAATTCGTGAAAGCAGGTTAGTACTTCCGCTACCGCCTGTGGTACTCATCTAGACGCTGACTGATTCTAAATAAAATGAATTCCGATGGGTTAGGGAATGAGAAAAGAAATACTTAACACTTTTAATAATTTTTAAAAGCTTTTTTAAAGTCTTTGCCTCCTTTCTCTCCTCCCACGCACCCTACAACTTTGACATATTTTTATGGGATACTTAATTGAAAACTTGCCTTGTATGGTTTAAAGTGCATGGTTTAAATAAAGCGGTGTAAGGTATTCATTGATATACTTAAATACTAAAATACATCACTGTTGGCGTGTCTTAAATTGTGGTTCAATTAATTTTGTTTTAGGAAAATGGCAGCAGAAATCGTCCAGTTTAACGACGACCCGGAGGATTCCGATGCTGTGATGAAATTCCTTAATAAAAAGGACGGCGTGTCACGCTTTTTAGATGCTATGAAAAGACACTCACAGCGACAAGATGAAAAGATTGAGAGTCTTGAAAGACTCAGTCGTTCAAACGAAGAATATTTAGCGAAAAATGACAGCGAAATTAATGCGCTCAAACAGGAGATCGAACAAGAAACGGACCAAAAAGAAAATTACATGCAACAAGTACAGGAGGAAAAATCAAAATCTGAAGATCTTCGTGAAAAATTAATGGATGCCGAAAGTGATAAATCAACACTTGAGGCAACCACAGAGTCCCAGAGGAAAACTATTGAGAACTATAAAACAGAACTAACCGATTGTAAAAGGCAAATCAATGAAAAGGAAACCGAGCTTCAACAACTAAATAATTCCCATCAAATAACAATAAAGAAAAAAGAAGAAGAAAATGCGTCCATGTTGCAAGCTCTAGAGTCTTCAAGGAGAGATGTACAAACCACAACAGACGAGCTGGAAAAAGAGAAGAATGAAAACGCCGAACTGCGCTCAGGTCTTCGGCAGCGTGACTCCGACTTCTCCGCACTGAAGCAAAATTGGGAACGGGCGGTTCGTGAGAAAGAGGAACTCACTGCGTCTCTCAAAGATGTACAACGCACTCTAAAAGATCTTAAAATGAAAAACGAAGACGACATGCAAAGAAATGGATATGAGATGACGGCATTAAACGAAAAACTAGAGCGGACCACGAATGAAAGAGACGAATCTCTCGATAGGCAGAAGGAACTGAAAGAAACCATGAAAAATATGGATGAAACACTAACGAAAACCTCGACAGAGAAGGTTGGACTAGAAAATGCCCTGAAAACAGAAAAAGAAGATAAAGCACGTCTTCGAAGGTGTCTTGAAGAGGAACGGAAAGACTTTGAGATCAAAATACAACGATCTAGAAACGAAGAGAAAATTCTTTTGCAAAAATGCGAAAAACAAAAGAATGACATCAGCGCTCTCCAAAAGAATTTGGACGATACAAAAGCTGAAAAAGAGAAACTTTCTAAAGAACTTTGTTTGACGAAAGAAAGTCATTCCATCGCCATGAAAGAAGAGCGGGACGCAACGGCTTCGAAATTACAAGAACTACAAAAAAAGAGCGAAGAGGAAAAAAGAGACGCCGAAGCAAGAATGCAATGCAAAATCGTTGACCTGGAATACCGTAATGCGGAGCTCGATGATTCTCTGAGTCGCGAACAGGCAAGGGTCAAGAAGAGAGATGAGACACTGTCCACAGCGGAAAAAGCCGTTGGAGAATGTATACAGCTGTCCGAGCAAGGCATAAAGGAGAGGAAGGAGAGGAAGGAGGTGCTGATAAAGATCAAGGACAAAATGGAGTTGTATACAAAACGGGCATATGCAGATCAAGCGGGCAGTAGCAGCAAGCGATTTAGTTTACTGGAACAGCCAATCAGAAAAGGTAAGGCATAATTATTTTTAAAACATTCAACCTTGAATGAATGAAGTAAAAGCAAATTAATATATATTAATAAATGAAGAATTAACATAATTCAAAGCTGTTTACATTTATTACAAACGTATCAGGATTACAATGTACGATCACAACAGCAACAACAACATCAACAACAATACTACTGCTACTACTAACAACAACAACAACAACAACAATAATAATAATAATAATGTATTATAAACGTGCTTTCTTAAATTTGAATTTATCCCGAGCTTTTTCTGTGCTTATTTTTATTACAGTAAAGACACAGCGAGAAATTTACTGTGACAATTTGCGCGCCGGATGGACCGCCATGATTCGAGACCTGGACCTTCTTCTCGATACAGAGTCCAACGAACTCCTAGATTCTCTCTTTCAAAACAGAGTCATAGAATCAGCCGAGTACAACAAGATCCGCAGCCTCCCCAAACGAACGGGGGAACGAAGTCGTGAGTTTCTGCAGCTCCTAATGGGGAAGAAGCCGGATTCTATTACAAAATTCATAGAGCTGCTGAAAGAAGACGAACATGCTCGTCATTTAGCTGATATCGTGGAAGGTCCTTCTGCTTTTAGTTCCGGTAAGCCCCCGACACACACGCACACAAACACATCGAGCGTGCGCAATATTTGCGAAGATCGAGCTAATATGCAACGATGATAGAAATTACATTGGTTTTCCTGTATTTGGAGACAAAGAAATCCATCTTTATTGTTTTATTTAGACAATATACTAGTACATATATTTAATCCCCATTTACCTGATCTGAACTGCCTGCACCACTTATGTTATGCACCTATGTATATATATATAAAAAACAATAATACTTCTAATCATAATTACAAAAACATAATAATGATATAATATAAATAACTTATGTTTTCAGGACCGCCGTCCTCTGAAGATTTAGCATCATCTGGCAGTGACAGTGATGTCAGCACAGAGAGACAGGCTGTCCAAGTTTCTGAACCAATGTCGTAACAAGCAAAATCCGAATTATTTTCTTAGAGATACAGCTTACGCCACCTTTGACCAAAAATAACAACTGTTTCATATTTTAATAACTGTAATATGTTAAAAATGTAATATATTACGGAAAGAGACTTTCAGACACATAATTTGCCCTTTTTGTAAATAATCGTTTTACTTATCACAATTATTTTTTACTCAGTATACTCACATAAGGGATAGGTGTGTGGTAGAAGTCGAAGGCCACGGAGGTGGGGGGGGGGGAGTTACAGATACACGCGCGATTCGTTTTGTTTCTTTACATTTTATCGTTTCAATTTCTTTGATTCAGTATCTTATTATTATTTTATATTTATTCCTTTGCTATAATTATATATTTTTGCATCCCGACTTGTAAAATGACTGAGAAAAAAGAAAGAAATTTATGTGTTAACTCTACACACCCCTCTCAGTGGTTTAACTGTGACACTGTTAATGCGAAGTTTTAAACAAGCCAGTATAGTTAATGTTATTTCATGCAATTGTATGCATTTTACACCGGATAGCATTTGTCGACTTTTGTAAATGAACAAGTAATTAAAGGAAAATAACTTAAATCAGACATTTTCTTTGGTTCACTTATCATTTTATTCAACAGATTTTAATAACACAAATTCAAATTATCTTCAGTTTTGTGCTATTAAATCTTAAAGAGAAAATGTTAAACATATAAACCAATAATGATTTTTCATATCTGAGAATTAATATATCATTTATTTTATAACCAGATCCCACTTATCTGCACAATTTAAGCGGCACTAAATACATTAGACCACTTCCAATATTCACAACACCTAAATGTAAATTTTCTTTCTTTATCTATTTATTTATTCATTCATTCATTTATTTATTTAATCAGTATTATTTATTTCAAAGCCTAAACTGGACAAATGGTTGATTTTCAGCACAAATTACGTAATGCTTTTTGCATTATGTGCAAGTGATTCCTAGTAATAACGAGGTTCAGCAAACACGCGTCTCAGGCAATCATCTGTAAACACTCCCAGGGGATCGAGGGTATTTCTGATGGTTTTGAAGATGGTCAGGTCGAAGCCGTAGCCTCTTTTGATCCTCTGCTTTAGGTTTGGAAAATCCTGGAACCCTTTTCCCCAGTGCGGCAGTCCATTCAGGCCATTTTGATCCCACGCTGTCACAATCTGAAATCACAATGACATATCTAAACAATTATTAAATTATACTTAAAAGTTGTGTTGTTACGGCAAACCATATCTCATTTAGAATACAAGGCAATGAGCAGTTGTTTTAAGTTGATGGGTATGTTTATTATTACGATGATCATTATAAATTACTTGCGGAGGTTAAATTAATTTAAGTGGACTTATTGAGAGGAGGTGTTAAAAAATTATGTGGGAGATAATAGCTATCTTCACAATAAATGACTTCATCGTCAAAAACTGAGTCAACGCTTTTGGGTGTGACAAATCAAACGGTTATAATTAGCGTAATTTTGAGCACCGCTGTGTGGAATGCATCAGTTCGATTTTCATCATCCGGAGTGCCTACTCGTCTGTGCGAGTGAAAAGATGCAAAGTGGCTCTGATCCACTGGTTCCTCTTGTCCACTCCACCCTACTGGTACTGAGCCAGGGCAGATGAGGCAGTCGGTGCCCTTGAACCATTTAAAGATACCCTCCTCCATCGCCTGCACACCACTTCGGTAGGAAGCTTCGTTAAGGACTGACGAAAGAACCTGAACATACACGTGTATATATTTCTCGTAAACACGTATTGCGTGTAAAAATGAGTTTGTCAAAAATAAATAAGTATACCTATCTGACAAATTAAATATTTCATCTATAAAAAAAAGATGTATAATCATAGAAACTAAAATGCTTATGAAAAGCGACTGATGACTACAAGTCACAAATCAAGACGGGATGGTGACCATAACGAGGTCATACGATTACCCAAACAAATACCACATATACATAAACATACATAAATACCACGTATAATCTTCACTAATGTAAAATGAAAGATGAAATTTGTGGATGATAGTGCCAAAAATATACACTCCTTTAAATTTCACAGAAAATAGAAACCGTGGTTCACCCAAATTTACACCCGCTTTCAGTACTTTTGTCGGGTCTGTGTATATTGCTTTACATATCATATTGCTATAACTATATATTTATATCATTTATATATTTTTGTTATGATTGCCAAGTGTTTTAGCCGCCACCGACCAGCGGTTCTCACCCGAAGAGCAGTAGCTCCTGCGGCGAAAGAAGAGTCCTCTACAATATACTCTATCATCATCAATGAGGGGAAGTAAGAAGCTGGGAAGTGCAAGGATCGAGTAAGAGGCACCTTGGTGTAAACAGGTAAAGATAACTCTTTCTTAAAGGCGTCCTGAAATGAGTTTAAAATAGCAATGTCGCACAGTATCTTAGAACAACATACCGTATATTCCTCAGTGTTTTTGGTGAACTATACCTTACTATGTAATTATCAAATGCAAAAAAAAAGTCAAGTCAGCATAATCAAGAACCCTAAGTTTCACTCCGATGCAGACCAGCATGTGTATTTATCAAGAAGCAAGTTCGATTCAAGGTTACCACGCCAATGGTCGACTGACTATTAGTGGTTCCGTAGATGAACACGTGGCTTCGTAATTGAATGAACTCGTGTTACATTTGTGATTGGTACTTCAGATTTCAATCGAATACCGCTGCATTACACTGAGAATAAAATTGGAGTCATTTGACTCTCTAGTCAGAGTCCAGCACCCCTTGACCCTCATGGAGTTAATTTGACTCCTATATAATGGTCAAATTACCCCACTACCAGAGTTTTTAGACTCTCTTATCAGAGTCAGTCACCCCCTGGCTCTCAGCAGGTTTTGTTTCCATGTTGCAGTTTTGACCCGCCAATGCATGTCACTGGGGAGGTATGCTCACTCATTGATGTGTGTGTGTATGTGTTTGTGTCATGCTGTTTATTAGGTACCAGATTTACAAAGTGTTTGTTATTGCTTTAAAAATACCAAGTGCGACCGGAAGGCCTCGTGGTTAGAGTGCCCATCTCCATAGCGAGAGGACGTGGGTTCAAGCCCTACCCGGGGAACACCGATCTTTAATAAATGGTGCCTTCTGTATCCCCGCTTGGCACTGTTGTTGCTTTTTCCGTAATGAGCTAAAGAGTCAAAAATTCCTTAATATGGGGTCATGGTGAATCTTTTGTAGAGATAAATCAAGGGATGAAGGGATGTGTGAATGGAGTCAATTGTGACCCTTCTGTGGGGTCTGGGATGGCTTTACTCCATCGGAGTCAACTTGACTCCAATTGGGAGTTATTTTAGGCACCACTGCTGGACTCCAAGTTTGGAGTCACTCGGTCTCCGATTTTATTCTCAGTGTATGGACAAAACAAGCTGACACGAATGGAAATTTTGAAATGAAACTCGGAGTAATGATTCCAAAATCAGATAATATATGCACATGTATATACCTGGCTCACTGAAACCTTTGTGACGTTTGAAGCAGACTGGGTTCTTTCGTCAACTATAGTAAACTCCACGGGGCTGGACGCTGGTCTAATAAGTCTGGAAATAGAAGGCAACAAATTATGTAAAACAAAATAAAATGTTATAGGTTAAAATGTATCTGAGGTTAAGAGGGATATATTCATTCGAGCTAACTAGTTTACTAGTTAACTGTACTAGGCCTAACTACTTTCGATTTATAAATATCGGTTCAGCTTTTTTATCTGATATTTCATTTTGAAGCTCAAACTGCTTTGAATATCAGTGCTGGCATATAACCATCCTCAGGTATTAGTTATCTTTTTAAAATAATTAATTACTTTGTGTGTTCCGCCAAATCTGCCATCAAATTGAACTGAATAAAAGAATGAAGAAAGAACTGAAAATTCTGCGCGTTGCTGCTGAGTCCCGCCACGATCTTCACACTCTTAGTGTCCTTTGTTGTTACATTATGAGCTCTATGTTCCCTGAGATGCAGCGGCATTGCAAATATAGGAAATCGACACACCTTCGCCCTTTTACATCTCCATCCATGATTCGAAGATGTTCAACAGATGGTTAAATGGGGGAAAAGCCCTTCGGATTTGCAAAGAACTTATACTGAGTTAAAATTTTGAATCAAGTGACGTCGCTTTCTGACGTCCAGATGTCGACTGGACTATGTCAGCAAGAAAACAACCTGCCGTCGTCAGAGTACTAAAATACATAGGAATTACATCACTGAGCATTGGAAGTTTTCCTTGCTCAACAAACAATCAGTCGACGACATTTGGTTTAAATAAGTATCTGGGCTACCTAGGCAAATAACTCACTGTAACATCACCAAGTCGTTAGAACTATTCCAGGTTACGGGAACCTTTCCAGTATCTAAGACAGCTCTGGCCTCTTCATCTGTCAGCGAGTTGTATGGAGCGTACAATCCCATTGCAAAGTAGTTGTCAAGTACTGTGTTGTGGATGAAATCTGGGTTAAACAGGTTCCTCAGTGGAGTGAATACATTCCGAACAATGACATCCTCTTGTTGAACAACCTACAAAAGTTGTGAAATTCTTAAAGTTGCATTAACCATCATGCATATTAAAATTTTGTAATTTATCTTTTGCTTGAGTAAGAAGTATTACATTTCAAAATCATAACTTAAGAAACTTCTACGTACTTGCAGTAATATTTTATCAAATGTCTGGTTCAATATGCTTCGCAGACCCACATCAAATGACCATTTGCATTATACACTATATTAAATGCCTGTCTCACTTTTATTTATGAGATACTTTACACAATCTAGTGTCAAATATATAGTCATGAATATTATCATGCAATGCACATTATATGATCTATATTTTCTTCCCTAACGCTTCCCAGAGATTTAGATCGACCTTACTAGATCGACGTAACTCCTTGGGGGTTCACGCTAAATTGCAGTCAGTCGACCGCGCACGGAAGTTACCCCCTTACAGCTTGTAGTAGGCGGGACGTACATTTAAGCCGGATTATCNTCCCGCACGAAAATGCAGTAGTATCGAAGTAGTAAAGAAGCATTAACGCAGTAGTGGTGTGGAGCATATTTGCAGTAGAAATGCAGTAGAGTCTACTTCAATTCTACTTCAAAAATTACATAGGGTTGTACAGAGGAGGAGAATTAATGCAGTAGATTAGCAGCATGAAAGAAGCATGTTTCAAATATGCTAATTAGCTCCCACA